AGATCACCAAGCACAAGATGGCTGCTGCTGGTGTTAAGCCCCAAAGCACCTTTGCCACCTTCATGGACATCTACCGCAAGGAGGGTATCCGCGGTATCAATCGTGGTGTGAACGCCGTCGCCATCCGTCAGACTACTAACTGGGGTTCCCGCTTCGGTCTGTCCCGTCTGGCTGAGTCGGCCATCCGCAGGGTCACCGGCAAGGATGACAGTCAGAAGCTGTCTGGTTGGGAGAAGGTGCTTGCTTCGAGTCTCGGTGGTGGTCTGTCTGCTTGGAACCAGCCTATTGAGGTTATTCGGGTTGAGATGCAGAGCAAGACTGAGGATCCCAACCGCCCGAAGAACTTGACTGTCGGCAAGACTTTCAAGTACATTTACGACTCTAACGGCCTCAAGGGTCTTTACCGTGGTGTTGCACCCCGTATTGGTCTGGGCATTTGGCAGACTGTCTGCATGGTGGCTCTTGGTGACATGTATGTTGTTTTTTTTTCCCCTCTCCTTCCTTTCATGTGATACCTCGGACTAACCAACCATCTTCCTACTGCACAGGGCCAAGGAAGCTGTTGAGAAGCTGACTGGCGATACCGTCACCGCGAAGCACTAGAGAAGGTTTGAGATACCCTTCTGCTATTCAGCTGTCCGGAGAAGGAAACAATTTGCGGACTCTTGTCACTCAACCCACATCCATAATTTCGTCTGCTGTCCTATCCCATCTATCTACTCTACTACTAGGGATCAGGACCAGACTCGATCGATACCCATGAAATACATTTGCAATTGTGCCTGTGATACTCCTCAACGAGAGCGCCCTTTCTTGTGTCCGCATTTGAAATTTCCTCTGGTTGCTGGCTGGTCTTGCTGGAGTCTATGTTTACTTCTTTTGTTCTCTATTTCGCGTTTCGTTTCCCTGTCTCATTGATGTCCGGCAAGAGAATAGACTTAGAAAATAGCCGGTTCCAGGTCGGCTGGCATTGGACAATTCACCTTTCACTTCTATCTGAATCATGTCTCCTCGCAACTTTAAGTAGGTCTACCTTACTTTCGATTCTATACAGCCTCGCCAATCCGTTCCCCCCACATAGGCCATTGCATATTCTCGACATTCCCCCCCCCCCCCCCCCCAACACATGAAACAAGAAACAACCAATTCCTCATTCCCCTTCCTTTCGGAGCCTCCCCGTAAACAAGGAACCACCCGGCCCTCGCAAGGAATTATCCCGAGCCTAGTCCTAGTCGTCCTAGCCTCGAAGCATTGGCAAGGTCCAGGGTCCAACCCGCCCTCAATCATCCGATCTCGGGCCCAGCATGCGGCTATCGGCTCTTTCACGAGCCCCCGCGTCACTGGAACAATCAAACTGAAAAGTAGAGTACTACGGACGGACGACTCCCTTCCTAATTAGCTCCATTTGTAGAAGTTTTATTATTTCCATTCCTCCGTTGCGCTAGTATTTTATTCAGATTTCTTCCCGGTTGCGGAACCGCTGTTCCCCAACTTCCCGTTATACCTCGGCTGAACTCCCGTACAGCACACTACAGTAGTTTTGTGGTTACTAGCGACGGAGGAAGGCGGCCCGCTGGTGTTTTTTTTCCTTATATTGGATGGCTTTCCGTAAGGAGAGCTCATGTGGTGTTATCATGTGGTTGTTGCTTGTGGTTTTGGCATATGATTTTTGTGAATTCTTGCGTCATTGTATTTTGGGAGGTCATGTGTATGGAGGTTAGGCCTGAGGGCTGAGGTCTGCGAGTTTGGCTTGTGATTATAAACTCAACTGGTCAGTTGAACGTTAGGCTTGGCCTTGAATTGTTGTATGGTAAGTATGGAATTTCGGGCTTTTGATACATTGAGATAATTGTCTGTGTTATCAGAACGTGTCTGCTCTATAGTAGCGGTGTTCCATGCTTCTCTAGATTTCAATAGCAAGGTCTGGATTGGACCACCTCACGCTTCATTTCAGTGAGACTAGCACTTAATGACTACTTAGTACATGAGAGACATTGGGGAAGTGAGAAAAACGGATAAGGAGCTGAGGATGACGTAGAATTTGAGCAAGGTCATTCAGGACAAAACGTTCGAGACGATGCAGAATCATGGTGGCTTGAAATGGTAGGGGAGAGACTCTCCAGGAAATCCTCCCTCTCATAGGCACATTTCAAAAGGGGCTGATATGTGTATCATTGGTCGAAGAGAAGAGCTAGGTCTATCGATTCAAGTCAAGAGGGCCCATGTAAATAGGCAAGCCATTAGGTTGATTTATCCAGAGCTTCTATCTGTTGTCCCGAACAGAGCCTATTGGCTACCAGAGATCCATAGTCGGTCATGCATCGTTCTCGAGACTCACTGGATATTTAAAACTTCTCGAGAATGCTAAAATGTATCATCAGAACTTGATCTGATAGAAAAGTGACAAGCTAGGGAAGCAAACACTTTGATACAGATGAACCTACATCTCACGACGAAATCACACTATGGCCCAGTTCGGTCCAACTAGTTCTGCACACTCGGGATCATACACACAGCAAAGACACGTCAAAATAAAACTGGATAAGGTACAATTGTTTGTATTACAGTCAACTACACCCTGAACAACAAAGGAGATATTGGCAAAGAATCTAGGCACAGGTGATCACATCAAATCCAAACGAGGAAAACACGCTTTTCCCTCGATCTAGGGCTGTATGGTATACAAGGGGGTTTAAACGGTCAGGCCGAGGTCCTCAGCGTAGGGAAGGTGGAACACATCACCGACGCTGACGAGGGTGGCCTTGCCGGTGAGGAAGGACTTGGCAACCTGTAGAGGGGGAGTCAGTATTGGAAAGACGTAATAGAACAGTCCAAAGGGATTTAGATGGGTACATACCTCCTTGACCTGCTGCTCAGAGACCTTCTCAATGGCCTGGGCGATCTCGCCAATCTGGTAGGGCTTGGCACCGTGGATCAGGCCAGAGCCGGTAGCCTCGAGGCCGGTCTCGAGAGTCTGGACGGACTCCAGAGCGCGGAACTTGGCCAGAGCAGCGGCCTTCTTGATGTCCTCGCTGGAGACCTCACCGGCGGCGGCCTTCTTGAGCGCATCGACGACGTTCTTGCTGGCGGCACCAACCTGCTCAGCCTGGCCGGACAGGGTGACGGTGAACAGACCGGCATCGGAGTAGGCCAGGTTCTTGGTGGACACGTAGAGCTGGTTGAAGCCCTTGGTGGCCTGGGACAGGAGAGAGAAACCGGGAGTCCACTTGATGGTGGACTCGCCGCCGAGCAGGGCAGCGAGGACGGAAGCCTCGGCCTTGTAGCCAGCGGTGCCAAAGGCGCTGGAGCCGGGGAAGGCAATCACAACGGCGTTGCCGATCTTGGAGGCGATGCGCTGCTCACCACCGAAGTACTGGCTGGCGGCGGAGGGCTGGACCTTGTACTGGCTGTCGGTGGTGCCGGTGGGGAGGTCCTTGAAGAACTGGCCCACCCACTTGCTGACATCGGCGGAGTTGGGGCCGGTAGCAACAAGAGCAACGTTGGACTTGGCGTAGGCATCCTTGGCGTACTTAGCAAGAGCATCGGCAGAGAGGTACTTCTCATAGGGAGAAGAAGGGGAGGGGGTAACTGGGGAGCCCAGGCCACGGTGGAAAGCGACACCGTGAGCGGCATCAAGAGCAACGTTCTCGGGGTTGGAGAAAGCGGCCTGCTGGTTGTACTTGAGGAGGTGGCTGACAACCTCGTTCAGTTCGTGGTCTGAAGAAGGGGAAAAACCTTCGTGTTAGCATCAAAAGTTCCAGTCCTAGCTATAGCTTGCCATTCTGCCAATATATCTTGTACTCCTTCACAATTGCCATCACCAATGGGGCTGGATCCAACTCACCAGCAAACTTGGGTTGGCTGGCAACCTCTGCCAACAGCTCTGTGAAGTATGGGAGGTCGTTGGCCAGGAACTTGGCACGGAGGACGACGTTTTCGCGCGAGTGTGTCGACGAGATCTCACCGCCCAGCAGCTCGACCTCACGAGTGATCCGCAGTGCCGAGCGCTTGAGAGTAGTCTATTCAATTGTTTCAAGGTTAGCATTTGGAAGCGAACCTTGCAGATGATCGATTGAGATGGGGCTCGGAGGAGCGATTTGCGGCTGACAACCACCACGACGAACCTTGAAGGCGAACTTCTCGAGGGCATCGGCGAAGCCGGGGAAGGGCTGGTAACGAGAACCAGCCTTGGCGACAAGGGCCAGAGTGCCAGTAGGGCCGGCAACCTCACGGTTGGCAACCTTCACGCCGGCGGCCTCGGTGACATCGTACTGGAAGGACGGGTTGGCAGCAGAGGCCATAGCCCGACGGCCGGCGGAGAGCGCACGCGGCGCATTTCGGCTGAGGGAGGACCGCGACAGCATTGTGCACCGGGAGCAATTGGAGGAGGAGAGAAGATAAATAGAAACCCAAAAGGGTTGAGGAGGGAGGACAATTGAAGGGAGGGGGGTTCTCGGATGAGGAGGAGAGGGAAGCAGTCGGGTTACGAAAAGCTTCAAGATGTCGGGGCGGGTTGATTACTCCGCTGCTGATTGGCTGAAGTGACGAGTCGGACGGAACCGGAATATCTTTTCTGCCCAGCTTGTATATGACGATGTTTTGGGTTTATGAGATGACTATTTACGAAGAGAATTGTAAAGATTTCTTCAAGGATAATCTAATTAACTTAATCTAACACTGCTAACATCGTTAGATCCCTCCATCTCCGTTGTAGTAGTGCATTCCCCTAACTTCATCGTATCCTTAAATCTCCGATTGCCATGATGATCAGCTGACCATATCACGTGACTGATAAGCAAAAAGTTGCTCGTGGAGTTGCTTCAACAGCAGCACAGCGCTTCCACCCCCTCCTCCCCATGAATCTATTGCGGTGACCTCAATCGCCTCTCGTGAGGACTGGAGGACGGCCATTTCATCATCCGCGCCATGATCGTGTCACAGGTTCGAGCTTACCCCGCTAAGCCCCTCTTACAATCAGCACTGACGCATAAGTTGCATAGTACGCCGCGGAGCTCTGCGCGCTCCTTATCGAGGACCAATTTGGAGAGCTTTTCGCGGTGAGTGATATCTGAGCCCGAAATTACGGGTTCTCAGCTGGGTAGAGCGAAATTTTGAATATGCAGCTACAAGAGAGAAACCCACCTCGTGGCGATCTAGAGCTGATGAGAGATCCAACGTTTCACAGCGAATTTTCACAACCCTTCTACGCTATGAGCGGCTGCCGCTACCCAAACTCAGGTTCTATTCCCGCCTGACCGACCGCCAGCTACATCATGGGCTGGTGGCTATGATCCAACACCACCTCGTGTACCACTTTACCTCCCTCGAAGACGGCAACACCTACTATGCCGCGAACCCAGAGGCCGCGTACTATCTCGTGCGCTCCGGGAAGATTCTTCACTTGGTTGAGAGTCGACTTGGCGAATATGCAGCCCGAGTCATGGAAACTATCCTGTACCTGGGACATGCGCCCATCAAATATCTCGAAACACTGCCCGAACTGCGCTATCTGGAGCCTGCAGCTCCAAATGGCGTCGTGAAAGAGGAGGAGCAGGAGCAGGAACAAGCACAAGAGCCTCAAGATCCCGATATGGAAGTCGAAGAACACACAAATGGTGCAAACGGTGATCATGCTGAGAAAGTTTACCAAAAGCCAGCACCGTTGCATGCTACCCTAAAAGCACTTGCATCGCACGGCTACATTCTACGTGTCAAGGATGCGCATTTCCAAAGTCCCGAAGACAATTACATCGAAGCTAACAAGGCTGCTTCGAACCGATCTGACATTAAGCTCCTCAAGGGAAAGAGGCTGACGGAGGAATTGCTTCTAAAGACTGAGGAGGTCCTTCAAGAGCGTACAGATGGCGACCTCTCAGAATTGTGGATGGTCAATGGTCTGCCTCGAGGTCTCAAGAGGAAGTTTGCCAATGGCACTTCCGAGTCGACCAGCAAGCGCCACCAGACGGGTCAGAATGGAGTCAACGGCAATCACGCAGACGATGAGGATGAGGAGAACGACTGGTCCGAGGATGAAGACGGGTTTGACAATATTCCTATGGAGGTAGGCATTTACCTTTTTACACCTTCATTCGCAACGCGAGTGCATCCTAAAGCTAACTGACTATTGCAGCCGGGACTGGTCCTCCGCGTCAACTACGATAAAATCGACGTTGCCCTACGAAACGCCCGCTTCGTCGAAATGGCAGAGCACGGCGCTCCCCCGACCACAGCAGAGGTCTACGAAACTTTCCTCCGCCGCGTCGAATACGCCACCAAACGCTGTCGCGACACCTCCGAGATCCCCCGCGAAGGAGAAGAGGGCGAACAGTTCTCCCTCCCAATAGAGACCTACAAGATCGTCACCGATGTCGATCCCCACCTCAATCTATCAAGCTCTTTCGGGCCCTTGGACAAGTCATCGGAGTCTGTGAACCGCCGCGGCAAGCGACCACTCGAGAACGGTGTCAATGGCGATCACGACGACGACGACAAGGAAGACAACAACGATACCGAAATCAGCCGCGCCTACGAAATCAACCAACATCTTCACCTCCTCGAGCAGGCCCCGTTGAACCTAGCCTCCCACGTCAGACTATCCGACGGCATCAAATGGCGCGTCGGGTTCCGCGGACTAGCCCGCAAACTGCGTCACCTCGAGATAGAGCGGCTAGTCGAGATGCGCTACGGCGACGTCGCCCTCCGCGTCCTCCGCATCCTCCACGCAAAGGGCAAACTCGACGAAAAGCGTCTCCAGGAAATCAGTCTCCTGCCCTTCAAAGATCTACGCCAAACCCTGGCCAGCATGCAATCCGGCGGCTTCGTAGATCTACAAGAAGTCCCCAAGGACGCACAGCGTCAACCGTCCAAGACGATTTTCTTGTGGTACTTTGATCCAGATCGGGTGTGTAACAGTGTCCTCGAGGATACGTACAAGGCCATGTCTCGTACACTGCAGCGCATCAAAATCGAGCGCGATCTTCGTCGGGATTTCCTCGATAAGACGGAGCGCAGTGATGTCAAGGGTAATGAGGAGAAGTGGCTGAGTGAAGGGGAGTTGGAGCAGTTGCAGCAGTGGAGGAATAAGGAAGCTCTCTTGTTGGCCATGGTCTCTCGTCTGGATGATCTGGTGGCTGTATTCCGGGACTACTAAGGCGAGATCTGGTTGTGCTTTGGGAGTTTTTCTTTTCTTGTCTTCTTTTGCATATGGACCGGATAACATGAGCGATGAGATTTCTTGGGTGGGATCCCGTTGGGAACTTTGATTATTCTGACATCTTTGTATGCTCGAGGGTGTTATTCTGTGTCATATTGTTTCTTCCTGTTGGAAGCCTGAATAGGATTTTTGCATATGATGGATCTTCTTCCGAAGAAACCCTTGACATCCCGTAGATGGTAACATCTAGTATCCAACGATTTCAAGCATACTACTGCACAACATCACTTGAAGCCGATCATATATTATGTATTGCCCCGAACGTAGAGACAACAGCATCTTTCACAACATGATCGTGTGGAAACATATCACACAAGTACGAAAACAGGGAACCTTTGGGCACATATATCACATATCACGTCTATCTGAATATAATTCAAAAAGGACTCGAGAGGATGCAGACAAAGAGAAGAACAGCATCAGTTCCAAAAACAAACCAGCCTCCCAAAAAAAAAATTTCCAATCAACAACACCGACGCTATCAAACCGCCGAAAGAACCCAAAAATGAAAAGATATCAATCATTACACATCTGCGAGAGAACAGAAAGAGCTGCCGTAAATATACCCCTGGTTGATCTGGCGTGGATATTACTCTTCGTTTCCTCCGACAAGCATCAGAGGAATAAAAGTATGCAAGGAGAAGAAAAAAGAACAAATAGACAAGAAATGAATCAGATAAGACAAAATTCCCCCCAATCCCGCCCTAAATCATGGTCTTTTGGTGTACAATTTTGGTCATGGTCATGATGGACTCTTGTTAGAAGAGTCTGGATCAGTGCCATTAGTGGTCGTAGTGTTGGTGGTAGCGGTGGTGATTGCGGGTGTCGTGTTTGCCTTCTCGGGCACCGCAGCGACAGGCGAGGAGCTGGTTGGTGTGTCGTTGAGATTGACACCGGCGAGCCTGGCTTCAGCAGCAGCTAACTTGGATGCAGTCTCGTCGAGAGTATTTTTCAAGGCCTTGATGTAATCAATGGCCATCTCCACAGCGCTGGCCTTGCTGATGGCTTGATTTGCTGGTTTTTCCTTCTCCTTGTCGCCCGGCTTGGTTCCTGACGGGGCGGCCTCCGTCGTTTGTCGGAGCTGAATGAACTCTGGTGGAATGAGGGACTCAATCTCCTTCAGGGCATTGTTGATTCGATTCCGGCGGCCCTGCTCTGCAAGCTTGTGGTTGGTTCGCTTGGAGCTCAGATTCTCAGCAAGGGTCTCGGGATAGGACACTCCCGAAGGCAGAGTGCCATCCAGAATGTGCTGATAGTTGGACTTGGAGGCCAGGTAGAGTGCATCTTGTGACAAACCTGTTAGAAAGAGAGCTCGTTAGTATCTCTATAAATTTGGAGTAAAGAATTGTTCCCATAGGAAAGGACCGCGTTGCAATATCACAACTTACTGTCACTTCCTCGCATCAGAGGCTGAATGCTTGGGCTGATCTTCGGACGCAACAGCGGGCTGGCATGTGTGGAGCTCACACTAGGTCGCTTCCGACTTGATATCGACGCCCGAGATGGATCCGACCTCTTAGGCACCGGACCACTGGGCGAGGGCATAGCAAGAGTGCGCGGACTGGGCGCAACCGACATGGGTGTACGGTCGGCTGCTGGAGTCGATCGGGGTTCGATCGATGGGGTCACATTGGCCGAGATGATCGGACTTGCGGTGTTGCGCACACTGGTGTCAATGCGATTCATCTTGGGCCGTGGCTGCAGAGCCGGCTGGGCTGCCTCCGGGAGAGAGATATCCTCCATTACCTCATCCGGGATCTCCAATTGAGCCTGACCCATCAATTGATCCGAAGGTTCCTGGGCATGCTGAGATCGCTGTAGTCGCATGAGCGTGGCCGGAGTTGCGGCCGTGCCCGGCATCTGCTGGGAGGACTGGTGGGGAAGAATGGCGGGAGACGAGCGAGGTGGAGGAACGGCGGGAGGTGGCATCAATGAGTCGGGCAAGGGTTCAGGGGAGACGGAGTCCTGACCAGATCCTTCGTTACTGCTTTCTTGAAGTGAGCGCACATCATTGTTTGGCGGCTTGTTCAACTCCTGGGCCATGCTGGTGTAGAGGTCCTCCAAACTAGGGGCATGTTGCTTGCCGCGGGCGCGTTGGGTTTGCGTTGTCTGAGCACGGATATGAGGGGATTGGCGGGATTTCGTCGCGCGCCCGGCCAGGCGAGACGAAGCAGCTGAAGTGCGCCGGCGAGTCTTGCGAATGATGCTGGGAGAAGGTGGAGCAGAGGTTCCAGGAAGAGGGTTGACCTCGGCATTGGCGGGGACGAAGCCCACATCTGAGACCTGGCGCGCATGGAATTGGTAGCCATTGTTGGAGGTGTGCGCATTTTGCGCTTCCAGTGCGGGCGACGTCAGAGGCGTGAAGTATTCGCCCGGGATAGTATATTCAGGGAGTCGAAATTGGCTCTCCAGAGGAGTCATGGCGGGGGACACCAGGGGAGTATACAAGGCCTGGTCGCGGGGAGACGATGTCAGTGAAGGGTTACATGGATTTTGAGAGTCGGTCGGACGGAAGCAATTATTTGGAGCGGCGACATACCTGTTCCTCGTTGATGCGCGAGTAGCGATCGTACATCTCGGAGTGGTCATCCACGCGCTGCGGGTACCGGGCGGCATTGCCGTGCAACTCCATGCTGTTCGGGGTGGGGGGAATCATTTGCTGGCCTTGCTGCATATAATGCTGCGCGGGGGGACCCTGTTGTTGCGACATCGAGTGCTGTTGCGGGTGCGTTGTATCCTGGGCGCAGAATCCCGGAGTCATCGAGGGCGTCGAGTACGGAATGGGCCCCGGCTGTGATTGCATGGAGGACTGCATGGAGCCGTGACCGTTGAAGTCCATTGCGAGACCTTCCATGGCGGTTGCGAATTGCTGATGCGACCGGGGATCTGAAGTCATGGCCTGGTTGGGGGCAGTGGTGGTGGGAGGCACCATGGAATGTTGCTGATCCTGCATTTGCTGCTGTGCTGGTCCGTGCCCGTCGAGGTCGGTAAATTGCATATTGAACTCGAGGAAGTTGGAGAATTCATCTTCACCTGGGGCGGTGATAAGCTGACTCTCGTGGATTTGCTCTGGCCAGGTCATGGCCGGTTGGTGCTCCATGGTGGATGGAAAGAGAGAGACCTTGGGGGAGGGGGTCTATCCTGTTCCAATGCACCCTTCAAAGGATGGAGGGTAGGGAGAGATGAGAAGAGAAGAGACCGCGATGGGGGAATTTCTTGGTCGTTCGAAATAGACTGGAGGAGGGGGGGGGGGGGGGGTTGTTGGTTTGGCTTGGATGAGCTGGATTGGCTGGGAATTTGGGGAGTGGAGCGGGGGGTTCACGTTGCAGGCACACTCCGAGGCGGCTCCTTATCTGGGTTGGAGTCTTATCCTCTCACGGATCCTCCTGTCTCTTTCTCTCTCAATGTCGAAATGGGTACAACGAGGGGATAAAAGGCAAAAAACGAAGGACAAGGGCGGTTGGAAGGGAAAAGAGAGGGGAGAGAGAGAGAGGGAGAGAGGGTGGAGATGGAGGGGAGGGTAGAACAGGAAGGACGAGAAAGCGAAAAGTGGGCGAACGAAGGTGGAGAAGTGTAGAGATGAGGCCGGGCGGAGACGGTACGCAGTTCCTTCGGAGGACCACCATCACCAGTCGGAAGGACGGGAGCACCTACGGGAGTCAGTCCTGGAGCATCGAAATCCGGTGTCCAGCATCCAGGACCCTTGGGACAAAAGACCGTGGGGGACGGGACGCTAGATGGTCCTTTTGCTCTCCGACCGTGTACTCCTCCGGCCTATAATTATGATCTGAAGTATGATCTTGAATATCCTTGGTCCTTGGTGATACTGGACGGTACCTGGGATTCCTACAGGACACTCGAGAAACTGCTTTAGGGCCATGTCGGCTTCTTGTAGCGAGCCGTTAGTGAGAGACTAGTTCCAGGGTTAGTCTCGTACCGTCGTACACTAACTCGTGAGTATCTCGAGTCGTGACTACGAAGAGTGATGAGTGACTGAGTGATTATTCCAGAGAACCACCAGTGATATGGCTGCCTGCTGAATTCCCCGAGAAAAGTCCCCCTCCAGTCGAACTGTCCCTCAAGGACTGGGTCGTACCAGCCATTTCAGCCGGGATCTGTTCCCAGCGGAGCGCACTGGCGTGAATGATTTTCTGGCGCTAGAGGCGGCCGATTAGCCGATGCACGAGGCACGATGCAGGGCTGGCCCTTCTTTTTTTTTTTTCTTTGAGTTTGTGGCGCTCTAGAAGAACACCCCGCTCTGCCGGTCCTCGCATCTGATCTCGAAGCTATATCACTAGTCCTGCAAAACAGAATGGGAAACAAAAAGAAAAAGAATAATCATCGTACGGGATCCCGTAGAACATTCTACCAATGTGCCTCCTCGGCCGTGGATCCCCCCCCTAAAGGAATAAGATTGGCGTGAATAAGATTCATCCACAGTGGAGCTCGTCCAAAAGACTCCAACTCGCAGGGACCAGAAAAGTCAGAAAAATCCCGAGATTTGGCTTGGCATTCAAGCACAACTATACTGTTGGAGTACGTAAGCAACTTGGACGACATTACTAAAATACACCCGAGCCACAACTGGGTGCCTCAGGCTACTATCAGCTGACTGGTGACTGACAGCTGGGGAGCTTTGTCCAGAATAATACCACCCAACCACCTCAGACAAGCCTAACGACCATTCCCTCCTCAATCCACTCGGGCCATCCCCCCCCGGTGACACCATGCCCTTTCTCCTGGCCCTCCTCTGGCTCTGCCAACTAGCCATCGCCTCCCTCACCATCTCCATTCCCCCCTCCTCCCTCCTCCCCAACCCCCATGTCCTCCCCGCAACCACCCGTGCAACTCTCACCACCCTCCCCGCTGCCGGCGCCGGCGACCGCGACCCCAACCATATCCTAACCACCTCTCTCACTCGCGGCTCGACACTGGTCTTCCGGGACCTTCCTGCCGGTCACCCCGAATCGTACCTCCTTGACATTCGCGCCGGCGAGTACATCTTTGCCCCGTACCGTGTCGATATCGCGGCCGACGGCTCGGTCCTCGGTGTTTGGGAGACGTTCCGCGGTAACCCCTGGGACAATCGCGGTGCAGAGAAATATGTTGTCGATGTGGCTGGCAAGAAGTCGGCTGATGTCGTGATCGAGGCTAAGGTTCTTGGCCGGAGGGGGTTCTATGAGGAACGCGCGACGTGTGAGTGTTCTTAGTTCTAACCTCTAACCTTGGCCGCTGAAAATCCGGTTGGATCAGCTTGCTTGAGATCAATTGGCTAACTCTTTGGTCTGGGGGAATATAGTTTCGCCGCTGAGTCTGGTCAAGAACCCGATGATTCTTATGGCTATCGTGGCTCTCGCCCTTACTCTGGGAATGCCCAAGCTTATGGAGAACAGTACGTCTTTTGATCTTTTATTCTCGACCGAGTCTCTACCGATACAGAGGCTGTGGTGAGCCTTTCTTTTGATTATAGCTAACCACCTTATTCCTTCTTCTACAGTGGACCCCGAGATGCGTGCTGAATTCGAGCAGCAATCCCGCGCTTCCCCCTGACCGGTGCCACCACCAATGCCATGACTGGCGGTGGGTTCGATCTCGCCGGTTGGATGGCCGGTACCGCGCCCAGCCCCATGGCCAGTGCTGAAGGGGCTCGCGACGGGGCAACGGGGCGAGAGACCGCTCCTGGCTCTGCGCGGAAGCGTGGTTAACCAAGTTGTGTTGGTGATGAATATGTTACATTCTTGTAGAGCCTAAAATCTATACCAGATTGGGAATTTGAAACCCATAGAGCATCAAGCAGAACAGATGATGATGCATCGCCCGTAGCCCATAGACATCTCATGGGAAAGGACTTGTTTATTATGCACATTGTGTAGCAATGATCAGATGATAACCCCCCCCCCCCCCCCCCCCCTTCTCGAATCAAAAAGCAAAAGTCAGAGCGAAACCATTGCTTCTCGGGCATTCAAAGTAAAAATCCATGTACATCATAACAACGTAAAGAACGGGCGAGGGGCATCAAAGCCACAGAAGAAAAAGAAAGGAAAACCATTAACCTAAGGGTTCACCAGGTAGATCGGCGATTAGAAATCACCTCCACCAAAATCACCACCACCACCACCATCACCCCAATCACCACCCCCATTGTCATAGTTATCATGATCCCCCATATCCTCCACCGCATCAGCAATCAACAACCCACCCAACAATCCACCTCCAACACCCAATGCCGCCGCCCCCGCAGTCCCCATGCCTCCGGACTTTCGCGGCGGCTGTTGCGGGTAATAGCCACCCTGCGGCGGATATCCCCCGCCATAGCCACCACCATATCCAGGTTGGGGATAACCATACCCCTGCTGCTGGGGTGGATAGCCACCGTAGTATCCTCCCGGTGGCGGGCCTTGTTGTGGGTACGATGCATATTGCTGCTGCGGGGGCCGCGAGGAGCCGGAGGAGCTCTTGCCCATCAGTTTGCTGAGGAAGCCGCCCTTGCTGCGCTTTTGTTCCGGCATGGGACTTTGTGATTGTGGAAGGGGACTTTGAGAGGGACCGGCGTAGCTGGGTGGGCCTTGGCCTTGGGGGAAGGATCGCTGTAGTAGTCTGTGGCAGCGCCGCGATCGCTCCCTTGGCCGCGGGCCCGTGACTCCTCCTCGGCTTGGAGTTTAGCGGCTAGTCGGGCGTCGTCGTCGAGGCTGTGGGATGGGGCGTTGTCCTTGGTGCTGTTTGCGGGGTTGAAGGGATTGTTCGAGGCCATCGGCTGCTTTCTATCGCTTGGGACGGCCTCGGCGGGTAATTCATTGGGTGGAGGGCCCGCGGGGGGTCCTGAGGGGGGTGGTGCTTCGGGGCGTTCCCACTGCGACTTGCCCGTTGCGATATTGATGTAGAACCTGCAGGAAGAGGGACTACTAGTTAGTGCTCTGTGGGGATCATGGCTCGCTCGGAAAAAGCAGTGATACTCACCATGTCTGGTAGCGCTCGTCGTATTGGGCTTTCCACCCCTCGGGCACTGTTGGCGGGGGTGGGCCGGGAGGCGGGGCGAATGAGGACATGAATCGAAGGGGACTGTGGAGATGAGGTTGAGTTTTGTAGAGAGAGTTGAGAGAAACAAAAGAGGAATGAGCAAGACACGGATGTGTGTGAGATTAAAAAGGAGGGGTTCGGTTAGAGGAGAAAAGCCAAGAGGCGAGCTGACTTGCAAGTTAAATGAGAACGGAGAGACCCTGCTGGCGTCAGCGGGGGCCCAGAACCAAAGAGTCGCGACGGAATGGAGGGGGCTGCGCCACGGTGGCAGTGCGACGCCATCGTCATTGGCAGGCAATGCCAGGCATCATCATAAATTACTGGACTAGCATGTTCTTCGGACTGAGTGATTTGGAATTGGCATTATTTTGGAGCGATTTGAATCGACACCAAGAGATGCTCATCTATCCTTCTCGAATATACTTGTTCTAGAATCCTTCCTAATCTGTGAGGATCACTGCGGAACGATGCAGCGCAGAACCAAAGTACCCCTGCCCCACTCGAAGAGGGTCCTCTTATCACTCAAAGACTACATGCAGTAGTCTGTAGATAACGACCAGTCTAGGCCTTTGGCTAGAACCGGCAATATCATCTAGATATGACAAGATATCGGAGTATAGCCCTATTCCACATACTAGGATTCAATAGCAGGTCCCACGATAGACCTAGTATACTCACTGAATAGTATATACACTTTACAGAGACCAAATAGTATGGTAATAAGGTAATATTACATAGTCTATGGGACCGGTCCATCCGCTAAAGTGACTCCAAGATAACCATAGAGCAAGTGAAACAGAGACACACCATTCACACACCTCATAGCTCGTCGGGACTCAGGTTGGCATCGACATGCCTGCTATCGGGCCACCAATAGTCCTCATCCGAGTCTTCTTCCATCACCTTGGGAACAGGAGAACGAGAGAGTGAAGAACGACCAGGAACTGGCCAGGATATTGATATTGACTCAGTGTCGGAATCCATCGTCGAGTCACCGCCAGCCGCTGCCATCGGCACAGTGGAAGGAGTCGCCGCAGAGGTCGAGGTAATTTGCTCGGAATCAGAATCCATCGTCAAATCAATGATCCCGTCCACGTTTATCGTGATAACGTGATTTCTATGCCTCTTCGACTTGTCCTTCTTCTTCTTCTTTTTCCTTTTCCGGGTCGGACTATCCTTGTCAATGCCACCGAAATCAATCCGGCTGTCCCGCTTGCGCTTGCGCACATTGTCGCCGCTATTCGAGAGACCAGCGCTCCCTAGTTTCCAGCGGCACGCCTGGCGTGCCCGTGCAAGGTTGAACTGGCACTGGAGCTCTCGGCGTGCCTTGGCATCTAGACCGCGTCGGACCTCAGGGGGCGGTCCTTCAAATTGCCGCACCTGGTACTCGCTCAAGAGAGGAGTCCGCTTGATCTTATCCCGAGGTGCGGTCTTAGGAAGATCCCGAGCCCAAGGTGCATAGGGACCGTTGTAGTTAGGTCCCTGAACGGGGCCATAGAGGGGGTCCATGATGAGCCTGCCCATGTCAAGGAACTCTTTCGCAAGGTGAATTCCAGATGTTTCGACGGATTCCGGGTCCGGGGCATAATTGAAATCAAATTCGACAACTTCGTCTTCAAAGTGTTCGCAAGATAAGACATGGATCCCACCGGCGTAGTCTCCAAGAAGGAGCTGTGACTTGTCTGGTGAAAACGCTCCGCTCATGATCCCATCGTTTAGGCGGACGGTATTGGCGACTAATGCATCTTCCGTTGCTCGACGGATATCCCATTGCTTGAGATACCCGTCAGATCCGCCAGTGTAGAATTGATCCATCGTGCTGCCCCACAGCGCTGCTCGCACGCCGAAATCGTTGTACTCCCGATTTCGCATATTGGGAGAGTTCGTGGGCGGGCCATGAGAAAGCCTATGGATAGGTCTCGAATCGTTGCGAGAATCCCAAACATAGGTGCTTCCGTCTGTGCAGCTGGCAGTGACGTAGGTGGAATCCATCGGACAGAACGTCACTTCATTCATATCCACCGCCGAGCAGGCGCATTTTCCAGTGACCACAACTCTACCGTCGGACTCGATATCATAGAGTTGGACAACGGTTTTGGAGCGTAAAGGAAGGTTCATGGACTGGCTGTACGTGCTCCCTACCGCAAACCTTCGCCAGGAAGGATGCCACTTCACATCAAAGATATTCTGCGAATCGGGACTCAGCTTGCGTCGCTCAATAGAAGATTCAGTGACTCTCCACATGCCGAGATGACCACAAAGTGCGACTTTGAGGTCCTCCTTGATGTTCTCGGTCATCCCACCAACTAGATAGTTCTTGGTTGCCTCATTCTGTCCCCAGGCTAGCACTGTCGGCTCAAGGATAATGTTAGCCTTTTGGCGAGGATCGCGGCGAATTTCCAAAGGCTTGGGAGACGGGGTTTTATCAAGAAGGTTCCACAAGCTAAACGAATGTGCGGTCCCACTGGCCACAAGATGAGGCATCATCTTCGAAACCGCCATGACTGACACCTTTGAATCGTGCCGGAGTGTTTTGACGCAAGTAGGGGCATCAGGAGAGGTGGGTTTGCCGGTGTTCCAAATCTTTACTGTATGATCATAGCTCGCAGTATACAGCTGCTTATTGACCCATTGGACAGTCGAGACAGTCGGGAAAACACGTGGGTCTGCCGTAGGCGAACTCAATGTCTGACGAATATTATGATCGGGTAGCTCATGCAAGCTATTCCGTGAAAGATCTCCAGATACCAAGTTATTGCCGCGGTTATATTCGTCAGACAAGGCTGTGGCACCTGCTGCAAACTTTCCACCGTCAGGCGACCACGCTAGGGTACCCACGTCGTTGGATGCACCCTTCCACGTCTTCCAACGCTTCAGATTCGAGCTCACTGTCGCACGGAGAAGCTCGTGGGTAGGTCTCACGCCCTGAAGTTCCCGAGTCCACAGAAGTTTTGAGACGTTGGATCTAAAGCGAGTGGCACACTCGGTCTGGATCTTGTCAGGGAATTCCTGTAATAATAAACGTCCTTGTGAGGGTTGGCGCAGCTGTGAGGACTGACGACGCTGTATGGACGCATGTGTGGGGGGAGAAATTGAAGGTGGCGGAGACTCGGAAACGGTAGGAGAACACTCTCTGTCGGAATGGTTGGGTGAATCATTAGAACCCCCTTGCCGTCTAGTGAGCTTCTTGAGATTATACGTCGCTGGTTCGGCTCGAGTCCGACCAGACCGACGTCTAGCTGAGGATATGGACTGAGCTGGGGTCGGTGATCTGGAAGACTGGGATGACGGAGACGACGGTCTGTACTCAGACGAGGACATGGATGTTTGAGAATCTGGAAGTTGGACCGGGGTTGACGGTTTAATAGCTTTGTCCGGAGCTTGACTGGTAACTTGAGTTACTGGCTGTGCCTTCTCGCCCTGGCTTCTATTTGCATTTAGTAGCGCGACGCTCCTTCGTAGGTCACCTTGTCGAGAAGATGTTGGGAATATTGGTTTAGAAGGTTTCTCGCGACAGATAGGAGGGACTTTCTGAGGCGCGACTCGGGGGGATTCAGGAGCGGTCACCGGAGCAGGAATATCCTTGGGGGTTTCAGTGGCATTCACCGGAAGAGGAGCTTCTTTGGGGGGTTCAGCGGCCTTCACGGGAGTAACGGGTTTCGGAGGAGATGCAGTAGAGTTCACTGGAGCAACACGCTTCGGAGGAGGGGCGGTTTGAGTAGGAGCAGGAGGGGCAGAAGAGGAAGAAGTGAGGCCATTTGACAAGGCGATATCAGTGGATTTGGGTTGAGTGAAAGTAGGCGTTACGAGCGATCGCTCTTCCGCCACCTTACTTCGGGGAACCCATCCCAAATCACTTCGCTCAAACGTTGTATGGCCATGAGTGACGAAGCGATCTGAATGGTCTGACCCTGACCCATCGGGTGAGTCAGAGAGACCTCGGGTATATTGCTGATATAGCCGCTCCGCTAGAGATTCGAGGTATGGTTCCTTGGAAAAGTCCAAAGTAAAGGATGGAGTAGTACTCCGAGGCGTGCCTCGCGTGAAATAGAGTGAGAAGTGCGACATTGCAGCTATTGTTCCTTCTTGGAGTTGGCAGAATTGTCCGGTCTGGATGGGTGTTGGTATTCAGAAAGATATTATGATTTCGGATATAACGGAATGAGATCAGGAAAACAATGCGCTCAGATCGCTGTGAGAGGATAATGTGAGAAGGACATGCCGTCCTCGGTGTTGTTTGAATAGGGTATCAATTGGCTCCGAGTGGTTGAGGTGGTGGCGCTCTTCCGAGCGCCCGGCAGAGGTCACTGTTCCCACGTCAAACAGATCGCAATCAAATCACAGATTCAAGCGCTGGGTGGTTAGGATGGTACTCGAGTGTTCCTCGTTTTGATGGGCGTTGTGTTTGGCAATGCGGCGACTTCGAGGATGTGTGGAGAGCGGAGCGCGAAGAAAGCGATTGAGACCGAAACGAAGTGAAGCGAGACTGTGTTTGCCACAGTTAGTGAGGCACCAAAATACTGCAGGATAGCACATACATTGGAATCTTTCGCCTGACAGCGCCCTTCGCAGTACGGGCAGGCCCCGAAAGACAACGCTTGAGAACAAAAGACCAAGTCGATCGCGAAAACGCGCTACGCGAAGACGCCAACTGCGGGCGGTGAGAGCTAAATACGGGACGCTGGAGTCAACCCCCACTCGAGAGGTACAGGGTGGACTATTTATGTATAACATGAATATCACGACGGATTCTATATGAAAAAAAGTTATTAGACCGAGAAATAATACATGAGTAATGAATTGGACAACTATCTAAATATCACTTCACAATCTCATTATTGCTCTTGGCAGAAAAGAATAAGAAAAAGCATTGTATATGTACAGAACCGTCAGGAGTACCCAACGACTGATCTTGGTCCAGCATAGCGGATATTGAGAGGGGCGCATATTTCTCATCGAGGCGCGAGTTTTATCAGAAAGAACATACTGCCGTCCAATATGCAGTTCTCTTCTAACTGAGTTGGGTCGTCGCAAGAAGCGAGTGCAAAAGTCATCGTCGCTTTACGATGTCCGTCCGAGAAAAGACCAGCTATAGGCCTCTGCCTCGAACGGCTACCGGGGATGGCATCGCATTGGCATTGCCATTTACTTGCGAATGGAGCGACTCTTGCGCATCGACACCATGGCATCATACAGCACATCCTTGAAGGCGAAGAGGAAAGCGGCAGTGATGGCACTCTGGGTCACCTTGGGACCAATACCTAGATATAACAATATTAGCATTCAGTGCTTCGTCTGCTTGAAGTGAGGAAGAACTCACCCTTGTACAGTCCGGTGTATCCCTCCTCGCGAATGATCTTCGTAAGGATGCCATTCAGGCTCTCCTTAGGACCATCCTTGCTGGCCACGTGCATGCGGCTTTTGACGGTAATATAAGGGTACGTGATGCTGGTGGCCAGGATCTTGCCGAGCGCACCCAAATAGAAGGCATCCTTGGGAGTCATCCGCCGGCGGCGCTCGACGATATTCTTCAGCTGCTCGAAAATGGTATACTGCAGGATCGGGTTGATCACCAAGATCAAGGCCGGGAGGACACCGGCGAACAGAGCCTTAGGGCCCTCCTCCTTCAGGAGGGTCATTAATGTGCTGAAGGTCGATGCCTTGGCCTTCTTGGGTGCGCCGGGCAGGCTCTGATCATCGGACTCGGACTTGCGAGCCGTCATGCGCGTGTTGATAACCCAGATCGGGTTGGTCAACATGACGGTGGCACTGCCGGCGATTGCACCGGCAATCATGGACTCCACGGTCGTGAGCTTCTTCGAGGCACGACCGGCCGAGACCGCACCCTTCTCAAAGGCAGAACGGGTCCACTCATACCAGTAATAGTATACAAAGTTGGTGACACTGATTCCGAACAGGGCGGACTCCAGACCGGAGTAAAGACCGGAGATACCCTCGCGTTGAACGATGCGACGAACGGCGTCAAGGGTTGTGGAGTGCGCGCGCTTGGACTCGACCTGGGCTCTTGTGGATAGTGTGATCAGAGGGTATCTGCCGAAGGGTGGATCTTAGCAAACGAGTGGTGACCCATGGGGTAGAGAGCGCGGGGTATATGAATCATACGTCAAAACCATAGAGAGGATACCACCTCCTGAACCTGCCAGAGCGTGAGCGATGTTATCGCTCTGCTGCACGGCCGCAGAAGGCGCAGGCTTGGGTTGTTGCTGAGGTTGAGACATGGCGAAGCGCGGAGGTTGGTATGTGGTGAGGAAGGGCGGGGAGTAGTTGGGATCGTAGAGTCAAGACCTGGAAAGTAGGCGAGAAAGACAGACAGGAAATGGAAAGAAAAGGCAAATAGTCTCAATAAAAAAAAAAGGAGCGGATCGATTTGAAGAAAAAGGGTTTCCGTAGGAGAAGGGCGCGATAATGATTCGGCTTGGGGGAAGGAGAGAAAGTTCATGACGTTTTGCCGAGTGCTGTGCCTCGGCTCGTGCATAACTCCACTAAGGGTCATTATTCCGAGCCGCCCATAGAAGTCGTGAGACGAAGTGATGGGCACTCGGAGATGTGACTCTGCTCTCTTTCCATATGGAGCATAGTAAACTCGGTTGGTCCACCGAGACACTCGGAGGGAGTGTGATGGACGCTAAGAGGGTGTTTGGAAATTAAATTCTTCATGACAGTCTGGGGGTTTTTAACAGGTGCTTTAGCATGTGATCCCCTTACTTCCTCTTCTGGCCTCCTGGATACAACTAAGATCAAGGGTCGAAAGGTACACTATTTAGTCGTATGCACCCTGATACAATACTAAAGTAGCATGAAGAAGTAACTTCTATAGTAAACAAGGGCTTGCAGGACCTTGCCGAGGCGTGTTCCTTTGGTCCTAGGTAGGGATCATCAGTTCATAGACCTTCCAACCAGTTTACTGATAGATCTACGGAGATCAATAAATGGAGTTCAACAGAGACAACCAGACATTCTCTAGTGATGGAGTCATACAAGGAGGCTATAAAACATGAAACACAGAAAGATATAAAACCGTGAGGTTCTCGCCATTAATCCATTCTGAAGAGATGAATCCAACCTACAAGAAGAACAAGAGAGAATGAAGGGCCAGAAAATAGATGCGGCCAGGAATAAGAAGAGACAAAGGAGAAAAAAAGGAAACACCAGCGGTAATCACAAAGCAAACGAAGAATGACAGAACACAGAGCCATCTAAAGCACAGGAAAGAAAAGAGGAAAGAAGAAAGGGCACATCCAGAGTTGGCACTCGCAAAGACGAATGAAACAAGCTTTCCCCCTTCCAACCTTTCTCGGGGCTGTCTGGATTTGATGGCAAGCGTTCGGTCAACGGTCGAGCGGGTGGGTAAAAAGACAAGCCTGGCTGCCGATGAGATTATCACGCCGCTTGGAAACCCTCATCCATGATGTAACATTGCGCCAAATGGAAGTACCGCCTTGTAGTCTTGAGTCCATGGTCGTCTAGCAGCAGCCGCCTGCGGATCCAGACTGGACGCCCTGGCCCTGGCCAACTTGCACGGTGGGCTTGTTGTTGACAGTGGCCGTTCCCATGCGCTCCTTGATCTGTCGGGCCATCGTCAAGAATGCCTGCTCGACGTTGGATGCGTTCTTGGCAGAGGTCTCGAGGAAAGGAATTCCGAGGCTGTCGGCAAACTCCTATGAAAGAGAAAAAGAGAAACTGTGAGCCCTGAGCGAGACAAAACAACAATAACACCCCCAGACATCTCTGGCATCGTCTACCTATGACGAATAGAGGCTCAAGAGTATCGATATCCAGGGAAGAGGGGCTCACCTTCGCCACAGTGTACTCCACGACCTTCTTGTCCTCCATATCGCTCTTGTTGCCGACGAGCAGCTTGTTGACACCCTCGGTGGCATATCGGTCAATCTCCTGAAGCCACTGCTTGACGTTGTTGAAGGAGTCCATGTCGGTCACATCATAAACAACGCAGATACCGTGGGCACCACGGTAGTAGGAGGAGGTGATGGTACGGAAGCGTTCCTGGCCGGCAGTGTCCCACTGGAAAAAAAAACGGCGAAGGTCGGTTAGCTTGCGTCCATCCGAGCGCCATGCGCTCAAGAGTTTAAAAGAGGAACCCGTACGATCTGAAGTTTCACGGTCTTGCCATCGAGCTCGATAGTCCGGATTTTCTGCCCTCCTGTCAGCATCAACAGTCCCGCTTACCACAACACCGCCCCGCAAAAAGCAATAGATCCACATACGAAGTCAACACCAATAGTCGAGATGTAGCTTTCGGTGTAGGTGTCGTCGGCAAATCGAAGCAGCAAGCAAGACTTTCCAACACCGGAGTCTCCGATGAGGAGGAGCTTGAAGAGATAATCGTATCTATTTGGGTTAGGTCATGTAGATCGGCGAGATGGGGTCGTTGGGGGGCCATGAAGCGGCCAACGCTGCGGGAAAGACTCTGAATAACAAAGCGGTGTCAGTGAAGGTTCTCCGTCAAGCGGTACTCGGTGATGCTCAAAGGCGATTCAGCCCCAACGGAGATGGAGACGGAGCAGGAGGTTCCCAAAATAGACTAATCGACGGAGCGGATACTTACCACTCGGGGTTCATGATGGGCTAGCAGTGAGCGGAGGAAGAAAGGTAGTCAAGAGAAGCAGAGGCGAACACAGACGAGAGTCGAGCAAGAGATGGAATCGAAGGATGTTCGGAGTCGGTGTTGGGGGGTTCTTGGAGGGGACTGAATGATGAAGGCCTGAAATGATAGGAGGTGCAGGAGGCCACATGCACCTGATGCGCAGCTTTGTTTCAGCGGTCACCGCCACCACCGCCTTCGGACTACTCGAATGGGGTCATCGACAATAACATCTAGATGTATTCCATCAGTCTTCGTATAGATTTGTATAATGTATTTTCAGTACGGCATTCAACCTTCACCTTATCTTACTGTTTGTGATTATATTGTTTCTTCTTGCTTGTATACACATCTACAGCCAAACTCTGGTCGCCAAGTAAGACCACTGAACTATGACGAAGTGCGTCATTCACCAAGTCGGGCTGTGGCTGATCCCGTGCTCCTCCTGCAGCCTCGTGGGAGTTACTCCTGGCAGGTGACCACCGCACGCTAATGAAGGAAAATAAAAAGACTGTCACATTGCGGTCTGCTATCTCTCACATTCTTCTCTCCGACTGACAGAACGATTATAACAATGAACGAATCTCCAAATTTTAGTCTCGTGCATAGGGTGAGACGCAGCTTGGTCGATTATCAGTCAGTCCCATTCGCATCCCTCTTCACGCGTATCCGTGGGCCTTGAGCCACTCCAGGACAAGTGCCTCATCCCGCTCCTTGTAGGATGCGTTGGTCCGGATGTTGTCCTGGACAATGACGAGGGCACGAACATATGCGGCCGTGTCCTTGGTCTTGAAGAACTCGGCAATATCGTCGCCAATCGCGTGATCAGCGAACTTGGACAGACCCATGCGAATAAACCGCTCGAACACGACGTTGTTGGAGGACAGGCGAGCCGAGACCGATGCCCAGTTGGTCTTAAGGTACTCCCACAGCAGGTGTCGCACCTTGGAGTTGGCAGCCAGAGCTACCGCACCGCTGTGAAGGTCCTGGATGGCCACCTTGTCCGAGAAGACAAAGTCCAGGTAATCCGTGACCAGGGCAGCGTCCTTGGTACGTCCCATGGACGCCAGGCAGATCTCCTTGCCGTCAACGGAGTCCGTCTGCAGGTATTCCTCCTTGACAGCGTCGTACTCCTTGCGACCGCCCTCCGACACATTGAGGCCGAAGATCGCGGCCCGCAGGTTGGTGTGAATGGCGCTCTGATCTTGACCGGTCGCCCAGAGATCGAATCGGCGCTTTGCCTCGGCGACGATGTTTTCGTGGCCAGCATTACCCGCCATGGCGATCAAAAGCTTACGAAGCTGGATGACCAGATAGTCCTCGTTGGGCTGGAACTCCCAGCCAATGCGCTCAGCTGCTGGGGCAGCCAGGCTCCGAGTGAACTGCTTCAGGCCTTCGGCGACCTGCTCATTCTGCGAGAAGACAGAGCGGAGATTGGCTAGAGAAGAAGACACCTGAGACCAGACCCTGTGGGATTGACAGTTAGCGATGATCAGAATGAATAAACTGCGAATGTTATATCAAGAGAAGTCCTTACAGGTAATTCTCCTCTCCCTTGAAACCCTCGAGGAGGGCCAACAAGGCGGGCGTGTTGCCATCGCCAGAGACAGCAAGGGCAGTCGCATCACCGAGCAGACCAATCTTGTCCTCGGTGCTCAAGAGATCAAGAGACTGGCCCAGCTTCTCCAGACGCGCAGCGGGGTAGTTGGTTCGGTAGAAACCCGCCAGATCCTTGTTGATCTTGTAGAAGCCGTCCGTGCCGATGTCTCCCACAGTGTCAGACTTTTGAGTGAGAGCCCGGGTGTCCACGGTAGCCAGTTTCTCGCCAGACTTGATACCAAGAGGAATCCACCAAGTGGTCTCATCCTCCTCGGGCTTGGCATCACCAGTGGACAAGAAACGGCTTTGGCGGACGCTGACCTGGCCAGGCTCCTCGGCGACGGTAACAATGGGGAAGCCAATCTTCCGAATCCAGGGGTCCTTTTGGCTCCTAGTTAGATTCGGTCTCATAAAAAACGATGTATCTACCCGTCGTTTGACTCACCATGAACTTGTGCACGTCCTGACCGGAGGCCTTGCTCAAAGCGGACCAGAGGTCATTAGTAGTGGCGTTTCCTGAAAGAGAAAGAGGGAGAAAGTCAGCCAATATTCTACCTAGAAACACGTAACTTTGAACGGCTTACCATACGCGTGAGACTTGAGGTAGTCAGCCACTCCGCGAAGGAAGGTCTCTCGGCCAAGGTGGACACTAAGCATGCGGATAACGGAGCTTCCCTTCAGGTAACTGATGTGATCAAAGATCTGATCCACCTCCAAGGCGTTTCGGACGGGCACCTCAATGGGGTGAGAAGCACGGAGCGAGTCGAGATGGAAAGCTTGTTGGACACCCTCAGCCTGGGATAATGTCAATCGTGGACTTTGAAGAAAGGAAGGGGTTACCTCGATTACTACGTACAACGAACTGAGACCAGACGTTCCAATCTGCAACCGTAGATTAGCAGCTGTCTCACAGTATGTGTAATGTATAATTTTCCGTTGGACTTACCGGGATAGAAGTGATCAACAGCGAGCCAGCCAACCCAGGTTGCGAAGCCCTCGTTGAGCCAAAGCTCGTTCCACCAGTCCATGGTGACGAGGTTGCCAAACCACTGATGGGCCAACTCTATGATATCAAGCCCAAGTTAGACCAATGGCCTTCACTGTAATAACAAGATGCAAGAGGAAAAGTCTCACCGTGCGCAACGACGTAGGCAATGCGGTTCTTGTATCGGTTATCCGATTTGCCTTCATCGAAAAGAACGGCAGTCGTCCGGTATGTTACCAAGCCCCAGTTCTCCATGGCTCCCATTGCCTAAGATCAACCCTCAGTCAGCTGGCTGTTAATCCTAATGGGAAGGTGCCTTTCGACTTACAAACTCGTGCACTGCCAAGAGATCGGCCTTGGGCAGAGGGTACTCAATCTCGAAGATCTCAGAGAAGTAGTCAACGGTCCGGTGGGCACACTCAAGTGCAAAGCGGGCCTGGTCCTTCAGTCCACGAGTAGTGTAGACACGCACGGGAATGCTCTTTCCCTGGTACTTGCGCTCGGTCATAGCCTCAACATATTCAAAGTCACCAATGGCCCAAGCAAGGAGCTGTAAGAGTGTGTAGTGCATTAGTTAAGAGAACCGCGCCATCACGGCCTGGCAGGGCATTGAGGTTGTACTAACGTAAGTGCTCATGACGGGAGTCTTATCAAAGGTGACGAACTTGAGGCCAGAGTTGCTACCCTCCCGCTCGGACTTAACGGGCATGTTGCTGAGCGCCGTTTGGCCCTTGGGAATTTCAATCTCAAAGTCGAAGGTGGCCTTCAAGTTCGGCTCATCGAAGCAAGGGAATGCCCGGCGAGCATCGCAGGACTCAAATTGAGTGCTGAGCATGTAGTGGAATTCCCCTTCCTTGGGAGTATCGGCAGCTGGCTCGCCGATAGGCTTGTACTTGGAGCGGTAGAAGCCGGCCATGGCATTGTTCATGGTTCCGGTGAAGTTGATTGACAGCACAACATCCGAGGGAGTAAGTTCCTCAGCGAACTTCAGAGTCACACGCTCTGACTTCTTATCGTAGGTGATGTCGGTAGCCTTGGCCACTGAGGCTCCTAAGAACGAAGAAAGTAAATACGCTGTCAGCACAATTCCGTCCAACTTGTTCGTCAACTGCCGTATGCTTGGTAGGAAAAGCCTAACCATCTGTGCTCAGCACCTCAGCACTCTGCACATCGATTTCCTTCGAGTTCAAGACGACCTCCTTTGTAGCGCGAGTAATTTTGGCGTCGACCTTCACCACACCCTTGTAGCCCCACGAGCCACTAAACTGCAAATCGAAGAGGGAGACATGATAATTGATGGGCTTGGCACTATGACGACAAATTAGCACAAATCAACCCACTTTTGACTCCCGATTCCACGACAATTGGGCTGTTCGTAGGAGGTAATGGTTTGACTGATTGTGTCCTCTCCCCGCAGTTGGCATCACTCACACGTCAGGAAGAGTCTCTCTGTCGGTGGACGCCATCATGCGAGCTTCAGCAGAACAGTATCTAGAGGGCGTTAAACCGAAGGGTACTCTGAGAGCAGGAACCGGAAGTCGAGAGCGCAGACGAGGAGGTCGAGGGGGTGATATTGAGGAGAAGACAGAAGCGGATGTGGAAGCAAAAGAGGAAGAACCAGAAGCGAAAGAGAAAGAGGAGGGGGAGGGGCGGAGAAGTTGACGACCGTGGATTGCAACGCCTGCGCGTTTTGACGCCGCAATGGATCTTCTCCCCCACATTAGCGTCTTTAGCGACGGCTAGTGTCGGTTCACGGGCTAATTGGGATTGTGCGACGCGAATGGTCTTTTGTTCTTCCCCTCCCTTGGATCGAGACCAACAGAAGAGGTTTATCCAGACGGAGCTCCGGCGGAGCTTGGACCCTCTTTGGCGGCTAATCGTGCCGCGCCCTCTAGACAATCTTTCTCTTCTTCCACTCATTCAGCTCCCATCCTTTCACCCCCCGCGAAGTGTCGCCATGGCTGACTCGGATGAGGAATACGTGGGAAGTGTCACCGATGACGAGGATGATTTCCAGGTGACTCGGACAGACCAAGTTCAGCCGCGAAAGCGAAAGCAGCGTGGAGGCGCGGAGTGGGAGCTGTCTCGAACCTGGGAGTCGCTGGTCGAGGGCGCCGATGGAACCATCAGCTCCACAGTTGAAGGGTTGCTAGAGGCGAGCAAGCGCAAGAGGTCAGACTCGTTCAGTAGGAGCTCCGATTTGACCTATTTCCTTGATACTAACTCTCTTTCGGGGTTGGCAGGCTTCTCAAAGATACTACGCCTCTACAACGAGGCATCATACGACATCTCATCCTTATCCTCGATCTTTCACAGTCCATGTCCGAAAAAGACCTCCGGCCTACGCGATATCTCTTGACTCTGCGATATGCTCAGGAATTTGTGCGAGAGTTCTTTGAGCAAAACCCCATCTCGCAACTTGGTGTCTTGGGTCTCCGAGACGGTCTTGCGCTCCGCGTGAGCGATATCAGCGGCAACCCAACCGAACACTTGACAGCGATCCAGGAACTCAAGACGCAAGATCCAAAGGGTCTACCGAGCTTGCAGAATGGCCTAGAAATGGCTCGAGGTGCTCTCTTGTATGTCTCACCTTACCTACACCCTTCTCTCTCTTGAAAATTACCACCTAGGCTAACCAGCATATACACATAGCCACACTCCCAGCCATGGCACGAGAGAAGTCCTCGTCATCTTTGGTTCCCTCCTCTCCTCCGACCCCGGCGATATTCACCAGACCATCAACACGTTGGTCGCTGACAAAGTGCGTGTCCGGATTGTCGGTCTTGCCGCCAAAGTCGCCATCTGTCAAGAGCTATGCAGCCGGACCAACCGAGGCGATGAAACGGCCTATGGAGTCGCTCTCAATGAGCAGCATTTCCGGGAGCTCTTGATGGACGTGACGACGCCACTGGCGACCCAGAAACAATCGGCAAGCTCGCTCCTGATGATGGGCTTCCCCTCTCGTACCGTGGAGCCCAACCCTTCTCTCTGTGCATGCCACTCGAAGCCATCTCGAGGGGGGGTATTTGTGTTCCCGCTGTGGGAGCAAAGTGTGCAGCCTGCCGGCCGAGTGTCCGTCGTGCGGCCTCACGCTGATTCTGTCGACTCACCTTGCGCGCTCCTACCACCACTTATTCCCTTTGATAAATTGGGTGGAGGTGCCCTGGCGCCGTGCCTCGAGCTCTGCGTGCTTTGCGTGTGGTCTGCCCTTCCCACCAGTTCCCCCCGAGGACCAGTGGTCGGCATCGGAGAATCATGCCAAAGGCATGAGTGTGAGTAGTCGGTACCAGTGCACGGCTTGCCAGAACCACTTCTGCATTGACTGCGATCTCTTTGCGCACGAGGTCGTACACAATTGCCCCGGATGCCAAAGTAAGAGCATCCAGGCGGTCTCCGAGGGAATGGATACGACTGTTTAAATTTTTTAAAGATTGCATGGATCGGCGTTAAGGGATTTGAAGGGGGATCATGGAAGGGGAGTTTTTGTGTATAATATAAATCCAGCAACTTAGCTATCATGACATATATCGACGTGACTGTCCATTCCCAATCAATTCCATAGTAACTGGTAGAAATAGATACGCGATCGTATATAGTTCACGAGCCTCGGCAAAATGTGAAAGGGCTCTGTCGCTTTTGCCCCACGTCTTCTCCGCCTCCGCCTCCGCATCGTTCGACCTTCGCATGTTAGTGACTGTATCTCGTTTCCTCCTCAACATAACCCCGGTCTCTCACCATGGCCGAATTACAGTCGCTTAGCTCATTTGAGCAGCTTAAAGCATACCCTTTCACATCCGATCCAGAGTTCGCAAATGGCCTGGCGATCATCCTTGGCCACCCCAGCACGCCAGCCTCGGAGGCGGAGATGAGCCGAGACGATGACCTTGTTTTAAAAGCGAAATCTTTCTTCTTCTCGCGGTATGGTCCCTTAGTCTACACGTTGTTGTAAGTAATCAACTAACACATTGTTCTGTTTGGCGCACAGCAAGCAAAATATCACTCCTCCCATCGATTTCACGGCCTACAAAGCTTGGTTAACCGGGGGATCATCGGAGTCCAATCCCGCGGCAGCTGTGTCCGAACAATTGAATGAATCCTCTACAGGGACCACTGTCGCGCCCACTCAATCATCTACCCTACCAGAGCCTACCTATCCAACCTCATTTGCACACATTGTGGAACTCATCACAACCGGTAAACCAGTTCCCGGCATACAGGAGATCCCAGACACCGTCCTGGAGGGCCATGACATCTCAAGTGAGAGGCCACGCCGACGGAAGCCCTGGGAGAAGGATGTCGGAGAACCGGTATCTACACAGGCTGAAATGACCAGCAATGCTGCTTAGACGGTCCGCACTACAGCGTTGTTACGATTGGCGGGAGGACTCCCGAATACCCGGGAGAATTAAAGAATGGATACAAAGATCACATGGGATTGGCATAATAGAAATACTGTCTCCAATACTGTCTCCTGCAGATGAAATCACAAGAATGGTCACGCAGCCGAGCCATATGAATGTTGAAAACAGTCAGTAAAGGTAAAATGTATAGTAGAGGCCGACAAGGGGGATAAGGAAAGCGATAGATGTATCCCGGGCTTCGCATGAGAAAAGTATAGGTTACTCTGAGCAAAAGAAAACAGAAACAGAAAAACAAAAAGGTCTGCGCATCATCACCACCGAATAACTTGTCCGTACTTGAGTGAGATATGGGCCCCCATCACAGGCAGATCGACGCTTTAGCTCATGGTGATTTTCGGCCAGGCCTCGTTCATAATTTGCCACAGACAAAGTCCTCGGGAACCTGGACACGGAAGAAGGACAAGCTAGATGGGTAGATGAGCAGGCAGGATGGACTCTCGAGATTGAAGCCACTGAAATCAACACTGGAATCATGCATTCAAGCCGACTGCTTGGACGTAACCGATAAAAGACAACCAGCTGCACTTGGAAACTGGGAGCGAATGTGAACATAATTCGTATGAGTATAATCCATGCAATGTTGTTGCTGTCAAACTTCGTGGGTTTTTCCTTTTTTTTTCTTTTTCTTTTTTGGATTGATTGTTGGTTTTTATCATCGTGGTCGCTGTTGCAACTTCCTCTTCTCCTCTCGGGCATCATCCGATGGACGCAGGATGCTGATCGTGTCGAAGTTTGAAGTTTGTTGGACAGATTAACGGTATGGAGAGTAGCTAGGACTCCACTGATTTCCTCGACCGAAACGGCCACTGTTGGAGCTTGTGGAGGAAAATCTGTCTTCATTGAACTGACTGAAGCGGCCAACTTGCATGCCGGTCCCAGGGCCAGGCCGAGTCGCATGGGAAGGGTTACAGCAAAGCATCGCAACCCGGGAGCCGAATTTGGAACCTCGGAGGGAAACCATATGCTTCCTGTTTGGATGCGAAGCCGTCAGACTTGTACTCATAAAAGCAACATTCAAGGCTTACCGAATATGGCTGGCCACAAGCTCACGGTGGTGAGCTGCAGCATTCAGCAGGACCCACTGGATCAGATAGTTGCCATACTGATCTCCCGCAACTAAAGTCATTCGTTAGCACGACCAGTGGAAGAGAAAAAACCGTCTTCCACTCACTGTCAATCAGTGGCATCCGGGGTCGATCAGCACGACCCGTGCATACACGGGAGAGAAAGCGATCCAAGAACTCGGAGCCACCAATCTTCAGACATTTTTCGACAATTTTGGACGCGAATTGATCCATGCTGTAGTCTACAGCATGGTGGAGGACATGCTCAACCGCACGGCTCTTGTCGTGGGGAGCACCATGCTCACATATGTGCTGAATGCACCAGTTGCCGAATTGGCCATGGGCAAGAAGATCAATCTTTGCCAGAACTTCTTCGATCGCCGGTCTCTTTCAAGGTGTCAGCGCCCCCGTCAGACTTAATCCCAAGGTTGAATAAAAAGAACGAATGGGGAAGGGTGAGAGAGGGGATGATCGGGAGGCAAGACTTGCAGCAAAAATTGGTCTCTTACCTTTTCGTCCTCGATGCAGTTTTCGAAGATATTCTGTACCACCAAGCTCCCTGTTTCACCCAAGGCAACGTCATGCCACATCCCCTCCAGCGCCTCATTCACCTTAGCCATGATCTGGGGAGGCTTCCCGCTCCATCGAAGCTCGAACAGTTTCTGCCAAACATGGCAGGCATACCGATGAATCACAGTTTCCGGAATTCTGCGAAGAAGTTCGCACACCATAACAGTCTTGTGCTCCTCCGGAACACAATCAAATGCCTTTTGAATAACGTGGCAACCGAATGAATCCATACTCAGGCTGAGAGTATTGCCTCTGATAGCATTCGCAATGGCAATGACTTGGTCGGGCGTTCCGTGCTCGAAACAACGCTGAACAAGGAAGTTGCCAAAGCGATTCACCATCAGGGGGTATGCCTGGCTGACAATGGCCTCGATGATATCAAACTTTTGCTCTGAGGTGACCACTTTGAGCTTTTGTTGCAGGAAAATGGATGCTTGTTGATCATTGCTGCATACAATCTTGTCCACAATGTATTTCCAGTCGCAGGAGACATTTTTGTCGAGGAGACGCCTGTAGTTAAGTGGTTCAAGGGGAGAGACATAAGTTTGCATGGAGCTTCCACCAGTGCTCTAAAAGAAACGTTAGGATCACGTCACGTACATAATGGTGATGAGATGAATCTTACCGAAGTACTTGCCCAAAGTGAACCGTTCCCGCTGCTGGCCGTAAATTCAGAGGCGGTTGGAGAAAGCGCTGTTGCACCTGGACGGGGATGATATGCAGATACTGGATAGATTCCCATTGGTTGAAAGGCGCTGGATGATGTGGCGGGCGGCGACCCCGGAGATTTGGGGATGGCATCACTCGAAGGTCCAGAGGCCAAGGGGGCCCAGGTAGTATTCTGAGCAGGAAAGATGGGTCCACCTCGGCCTCCCTGTGTGTGGGTACGTCGAGGTCCGGTATTTGGGGCTTGGAAAATCCGAGACTGCTCACCTGCTGGCCGAGGATAGAAGCCATATCCGCTGTTCGGGGGACCGGAAATGATTCTGTGAGACTGAAAACTGCCTTGGGGGGCGACAAATCCAGTAGGGTAGACAGGTGTGGCACCCCAAAAACGACCCGAGTCTGGATTCACCGGGTGGGAGGATCCCGGCAATTGCTCTCCATAAGCCTTGTCAAGAGAATGGTCTTGGGTATCCATCCCGAACGATGACTGCCCATTCTGGTTCCAAAGCCCACGGGCACGATTGTACGCCCCAGCTGACAGTGCGTCAGAGATGTCCGACTGCGAGTCGTCGGGTGCGTTCCATGTGTCTTGAAATTGGCCAAATGTGGGATTCGAGGCATTGAAAGCATTTTGCAGGTTGCTGATGGTCTGTTCAGTGATATCACGCCCGCCAAACTCTGCCTCTGAAGGAGGACCTAGAGCCTGGTCCAGAGTGTGCTTAATCACACGGTTCTGGGCAAGTTCCTGCTCCTGCATAGCAATCTTGGAATTGGCCTCGAGTAATTCCTGTTTGAGTCGAAGAAGTTCAGCGACCTTGTCATCTTGCGCGTTGATTGTTTCCGCCGAGCCCGCAGCTGGCAGGGTGTCGCTGGGCTGGGGAGGCCGAGATGAACGCGAAGCAGAGAGATCCGACTCTGGGTGAGAAACCGGGGCAGATTGAGGGGATATCTTTTCCAGGATCTTTTCCAAATGCGAGGGCTGTCCAATACTAGATTCGACTTTGACATGTCCCAACTTTGGCTTCTGGGGTTGTCAGAATCCAAGCCACTTAATCATATTGGGACATTGTATCAAACTCACCTTGGTGGACGGTGCATCGATACCCTCACCGGATGCTTTCAGCGTGATGCCGTATTTCGGCACTTCATCAGTATCCGTGTGACTGTGACGGCTGCTCGAATGCTGGTAGCCCTCAGTGTTAGACATACTGGCCACCTGTTGTATGTCAACAGCATCGGGAGTCGGCAAGACTTACCGACAGATCACGTCCGAATGAGAAGGCTCGCACGTCCCGTCCACTATCATGAGAGAGAAACCTTCCCTCCTTAGTGATCCGAGAAAGCACAGAGGGCCCAGTGAAGGTGGCCATCACGTTGATCACTGTGGCGGTGGGAAAGGATCAAGTATAGATCAGACCACGAGACACACTAGCAACCAAAAGGGTAATATGAAAAGGGATAGCACGAAGATTCACCGAGAGATAGGAAACATAGGATAGATGAGAAGATGAAAAGGAGGGGGAGATGAGGAGAGGAGAGAAGGGAAGAGACAGGGCAGAGGGCAGATGTGGGAGGGAGAACTGGAAAGAGAACTTGGAGGGCAGGAAGGTACGCCGCGGTCACTGCTGATTACGACACTGTCTAGGCCTAACCAGAGCCCTACGGAGCAGAAGGTCCATCATTCAGAGAATTCCACAGTCTTTTTTTTATCATCTCTGTTTCCTCCTTCCTTCTCGGTCCATCTCCCTCCGTCTTTCCATCTGTACTTGCTTGTATCCCACTATCCCCGCATAGGGCAAGAGATCCTCACATGGGATCGGATTGATATGAGCTTGGCGATATCTGCCAAGACCAGTCGAAATGACCAGCAGCATAGACACCAGCCACACCTTCCCAACGAGAGCGCTTTCCCAGGACCACATACTCAGGCTGCCCTGGCCCAGTGATAGTCGGAACCAAACGAGCCGCTAGCCGCAGACCATCCAAATCGGTGCCCCATACCACCAGTTCCAGCTTTTCGTCAGGGCAAGGTCGAAGGAAGACTGCCCCTAGGCCTGGTTCCCCATATATGTATTTTTGTCTCAAGGCAGGCAGCGTCGATAACGAACGACTTGTGGATATGACAAGATGGCCTTGATCAATGCGAATCGGGTATGTATCTCCTAAAGCAGCAGGCAAATCGTGACCCATAGAAAGTGTAACAACGTTCCCTGGTTGATTAAGTGAGCTGTTGCTCGAGCAATGGTCGATGATCTGAGAATTAGCTGCAAAGTATTGGAAAAAATTGCGACTGATCTGGAGAGCGACTGGGTCTACTCCGGGAGAACACTTCCGGATAGTGAACGTTCCTTGAGTGCGGAGAATGGCATCGAGCGCACCAAGTTGACGGCCATATCTTTGATGAATTGTCTTCCAACCTGCGTCACGAGAGGTGTCCCACTTCCCATCCGCATCTCTTACAAACCAGCCTTGCGTTTTCTGGGGGGATTCCATCGGGAAGGTCCCGCTCATGTCGTCAAGCACCATAGCTTCAGGCAACTGAACCCGAAAGAGTGTTTCTGACAAGTGAAAGCGGCGAATGTTGCGAGTGGTGATGTGCCAGATCTTGTTGTCTGCGGAGCGAGTAACGCGTAGCTTACCATTCATGTCGGGTGTTTGGAGTTGGTCGACCTGGATGCCAGCCTTAGATCCCAATGTCCCGGAAGAAGGAACCGTGATAGTGAATGTCTTCGGGAATGTCTCGACCACTTTAGACTGATTGGCCCTAGATTGGTAGAATTCTTTCAGGTATTTGGTCGTCATCACGCCTTCGAACCAGTGCCCTCTTCCAGGTAGCTCTTTGTACTCGGATGGCCACTGAGCCTGACCCAGGAGCTCATGCATCAATCTGCCATGATATGCAGGTACATTATCGTCGTCAGCCCCGTGTTGTTGTGCCACAGGGATACCAGCCAGGTTACCCACTAACAACTCGTTTTTATAGGTTGACCGTGACCTGGAGAGGACCAAGGAAAGCGAGGGCTCGGAGTCATGCCACATCGTATAGGGAACATAGTCTGAAGGCCTTAGCCTCAAGCAACCCACAGGGCGGAAGACAGTCGCCACGAGGCTTACATACTTTCGATCGAAGTGTATCCAGAGACAGGCGCTACTGCAGAGACGTTGTCTGGGAAATGAGTGGAAAAGTACCATGCGCCCTGGCCTAATCAATATCAGCGATCGGCACCACAATCAGTCAATCCAGGGAGCCAGTGTGTACCGCCGTTGGAATGACCAGCCACAATCAGCTCATCCAAAGCGGCAGCAGGGCCGTCCCATCCAATTTGCTTGGCCCAGTCCGCAATGGCTGACACTGCAGCTTGGGTGTCGGCAACGCCCCAATAGTCTATGTTGAATGTTCGTCTTAGTCACTGAACCAATTTCTGAAACACAGAATAGGTATCGACTCACGCCAGTCATCCCCACTCCACGACGTCACACCGCTCGGAAACAGCATCCAAGCACACGTCCCATACGCTGCATCTAGCATACCTCGCGCCTCGGCAGAATCTGCTTCAAGCCCTGCACCATGGAGGACGAGAATCACCGGAGCAGGTAACGAGTGATTACAAGCATTGGGAGGTGGAGTCCGCAGAATCGCATAAGAAATTATACCTGCCGGGTGTAGATAGGTGATGCGGAGCGGCTCTGACAACGGGCGTTCTTTCAGGTTCACTTCGAAGTATGTGGACCGCGATCTCCCGCCAGCGATCTGGTAGACTACCTCTACCGAGAAATGAGGTTCATGATCTGCCTCAAGAGAGATTGTAAAACCCAGCGGTCGGATCTGGTGCCCAGCAATCTGCAGCGGATTTTGCATGGACACGCGATGCATAGTCTGTGTCGAGAATGGGTATGAGCCGAGAACACAGGGTATCCTATGGCAAGATGGATGAACGAGCCAACCTTCAATGCGCGGACAGATTTGAGTTCCACTAGGTCTTCTTCATTGTTGAGCACGTTAATCGAAGCCCATCGGCTTCCAAGCCTTCCGTTGACCAATTCCGGGACCAGCAGGCTGTCCTGATAAAGCGTGATGGACTCTGGTTCTCGCAGCTCGGCATGGATCATGACTGCGATGGCATTGTTGAGTCCACCGAGAGCCCGCACATCGCGAGTAAGTCGCAACTCCAATGTGTGAGGACCAGGTGTTAGTTTTACCAAGCTGGGAGCCCGGTGGTACTGATACATATCCCCGCCGAAATAGGGCTCACCATCCACCAAGAATTCCAACAGACCATCTCCGAAGAGGGCAACAGTCTGTGGCTGAGATCCCTTGACTTCCAAGACCCCACGAGCCCACGCTTGATACTGTAGTGCTGGCCAGCCGTATACCGATTGCATGAATGCCCAATTGACGGCTGGAAAGCTCACATTGAGGGCTGCCTGGACCTGGCCAGGAGAAGATCTTGATATAGTTGCGTGCGTGGCGCCCCAATGGACAGATCCATTCGCAGCAAGAGCGCTGTTAAAGGTGCCATTGGGGTCATATTGTAAATTGTGGAATCCACCATCATACTCCAAGGGGTCAGCTCCCCAGATGGCCTCTGAACCAGGAAGGGGGATGTTATTTCGCTATCAGCCTACTCTATCATTAGTCCCGGCACACTAACCTCTTGTACCGAGCCTGAATGGTCCTAGAATGTCCCATGTTTTTGATATCACCACCTCCGGCAGCGCCGGCCTGAGGGGACTCTGACGAAGAGCATTGTCTAGGCCAAGCTTCCAGCTTGTCCCCGCTGCACCTAATGCCGACGAGAGTAGTAGGATCAGTCCCACGGTGGCTGACGAGAGGTTGGGATGCATATCAGACGCATACACGCCAATATCTTCGCCAAGATCGTATAAGATGAAATCGTTAGATCAAGATCTTTTAACTTCAGACCCTGAAGTAGTCCGGAGGACTATCGGCCCGTCCCTCCGTCAGTCAATTGTCAATTGCGGGATGCAAGTGGAGAAAAGACCCGGCCTTGGGGGGTCTGTGCGGTATGGTACCGTACGGTCACACTTCACAATGTATCGCGTCACGTGATCTGCTGTTCGATCTTCGTCCCTAGTGTTCATAGTCATGAGTAAAGGCCCGACTTGTTGAAGGATCAATAAGAGAAGACCCACCTAGGCAAGAACAGCAGCTATAGATATAGCTACCCTGTATATGTGATTGCCCGCCAGTAGTCGGCTTGTGACGTCCTTTGGTATTCTATATGCACCACTGCACGACGGAGGACTCCGAGGGTCCCGTATCACACGAGTAACGGTGTATGGTCATGGCCGGTGACGGTCGCACGCAGTCGGCCTCGATTCCGTGGACTCTCCCGACGGGGCCAGTTACCCTAACATTCAATCTCCCCCAGTTCTGACCTGGCCGCCCCTTTTCCTGCATTATTCTGTCCGGCATCTGGGCAATTATCCGAGCCCGCTACTCCGGAAACGCCACGACAAGCTTGGCCCCATTACGATCCCTGCAGCGTGTGTCCTCCGTCCTCAACGCTCATTCGCCCGAAGAGATTCGTCATCGCCAAACCCATCTTCCCTGCTCTCTGGCCAGACACCCTCTGCAGGTGAAACCCCCCGTTCGACTCGACTACTTGACTTGCAGTGTCTGCGATATACTTGGGTAAGTTCATTGATTACCCTAGACGCGCAGAAGAGCCACATGCGAGAGAATCGAGACGAACTGAAGGAGTTGACGCTTCCCCCAACCGAAAGCCTAGACGAGGCCGCAACGACAATGGCCACAACCACAGTGACCGGTCATGGGCGGCGGTCTTCTATGCGACAACCCGAATTACAAGTACCGAACAAACCCTCAACATCTCAACCCACGAGTAGCCCCATCGACAAGTTCCCTCCCTACGAAGATTCTATGGATGCCGCCGTGGGGTCAGCGACACCCTCAACCCGTCCGCATCGAAGCCCTTCGGTGAAATATGCTCCAGGTGAACCCTGGGAGCCTCGGAAATCTGCGTTCTATTCACAAAACCACCCCAATGGATCTTTGAGGAATCCCAAACACCGACCCCGGAAGAGCATTAGCGAGGCCATTACCACCATTCGAAACCGCAACGGCAGCATGAGCGCGAATGCGCAGGAGCTTGCGGAAGCCCTTCGCGCTCCAGTATCCTATCGACTGATTGTACGTTGACCAAGACGGTGATAGCAGGATTAGCATCTCCTCACCTACTCCACCCCCGCCCCGAGAAATATCCTGGCTAATTCACGACTGATCATCCAGGGTCTCTGTCTGATTTGGTACATGACCTCTGCGCTCACGAATACATCCTCGAAATCTATCCTGAATGCCCTTCCAATGCCCATCACGTTGACGATCATTCAATTCGCATTTGTCTCGTTCTGGTGTTTACTGCTAGTGTATCTGTCAACGCTGATACCGTGGCTACGACAAAGTGTGCCGGTCCTCAAACACGGCATTCGGTACCCCTCTCGCGATGTGATCTCCACCGCGTTACCTCTGGCCGTCTTCCAACTGGCTGGCCATATCCTGAGCTCCATGGCTACCTCTCAGATCCCTGTCTCCTTGGTTCATACAATCAAGGGCCTGTCGCCATTGTTTACAGTTCTGGCATATCGAGTCCTGTTCCGCATTCGGTACGCCAGGGCAACCTACCTCTCGCTGATCCCTCTCACCCTCGGTGTCATGCTTGCATGCTCCACTGGGATCTCTACAAATTTCTTCGGAATCCTCTGTGCCCTTCTAGCTGCTCTGGTGTTTGTCTCGCAGAACATCTTCTCCAAGAAGCTCTTCAACGAGGCCGAGCGTGTTGAGGCTGAAGCGGCTAATCCGGCCCGGCGTAAGCTGGACAAGCTCAACCTGCTCTGTTATTGCTCCGGGCTGGCCTTTTTCCTCACACTGCCTATCTGGTTTGTGAGTGAAGGATACCCTCTGATCGCCGACTTCATCCATGATGGTGCCATCTCACTATCCGGTAAGCAAGGGTCACTCGACCACGGTGCTCTGATGATGGAGTTTGTCTTCAATGGCGTTTCGCATTTTGCGCAGAACATCCTCGCATTTGTGCTCCTCTCCATGGTCTCACCCGTCTCGTACTCGGTTGCTTCCCTGGTGAAGCGCGTTTTTGTGATTGTTGCTGCCATTTTGTGGTTCGGCAGCTCGACCACCCCCATCCAAGCTGTTGGCATCGCCCTTGCCTTTGTGGGTCTCTACCTCTATGATCGCAACAGCCACGACGATGTAGCTGACCAGCGCGCAAATGCGGATCACTTCCGCGCGCGGGAGTCCATCCTACCTATGAATGTCCGACACTCGAGCAAGCCGTGGGACTCGAATGGGTATGCGTTCCCCGGCGCGAGGTCGTTCGAGACTTCTACTGGAAACACCTCCCATGCGACCAACTCTTCTAAAAAGCAAGATGATGGCCCAGGGCGCGTTCGACCGCGCGGAGCTAGCGTGAATCGGACCTGGCTACCTGGGACGAAACAAGAGTCGACGTGGCAGCCAGCTGATTCTACCGCTGCCGCATAGATGCCATTTCCTCTGTCATTATTTCCTTTCTCCCTTCCTGTCTTCCCCTCCCTCCGCTTGTTTCCATGTTTTGTATTCGTCCCCTCACAAGGGTTTGGGGAAAGACTGGTGTACTATATCAAGGCGTTTAGGGTGGTTCCTTGCTTGTCTTATCTCTTTTAGGCGAAAGATCAATCACTGATCGGCTTGACTTCGACTTATCTGGTGAATCTTTCTCCGTTTGTTTTGGCGCCAACATAGATGGGATGAAGGGAAAGAAGGAAGAATAGCCAAGTTATGTAGGTTGTATATGATTCCAATCTGCCTATGAAAATAGTGATCATAAAAGAATCAAGCGCACACCAAAAGGAAGGCATTTGCATCTGCTTCCGTTATCCAATCCACCGTCAGTGTCGCGGTATGTAGCTACCGTCGGTAAAGAACATGTCATCATAGGGAAGGACCCTTGACTGCTCCAGTTCGGTGCAAGTCTGCTCTAGGACTATGTTGCAGAGGAAACTGGGACTGAGGACCCGGCATCCTACAATAAATCATGCCCAGAAATGAGATGATTTCCTGTAAAGGACGGGGCGCGGTTGAGAGCTTTTAGGGGAAACATCCGGAGGCGAGGTTTTTCCGCGTAACCGAACCAATGGTTACTGGCGCATTTGGGATTTGTGAGGCCTCTTCTTAGTCAGCTCCGGGATGGTCAGCAGCATTATGTAACCCAACAGATTCCGAACTCTGAACGTCAAGCTCCTTCATCCACCCCCTCGTCCACCCCCATCACAATTCCCCCTCCCTCCCTCTCTCTCCCTCATCGTCTCTCACACAATCATGCGGCCGCAGCTGTTTCGTGCGGCCGCCCGGTCTCTCCGGGTGCCCAGGGCCCGTGCCTTCGCGACAACAGCCCCTCGCGCGGCCGAGGTGGAACTGACCATTGGTACGGCCTCGATCCCTCTGATTCACGCATACTGGGGTATATATGCTGACTAGACCGTGTAGATGGCAAGAAGGTGTCTGTTGAAGGTAATCTCCGCGCAATTTGCATCCATTGGACGACCACTCACATCCTCCGAAGCCGGCTCGGCTCTCATCCAGGCTTGCGAGAAAGCAGGTGCCACGATCCCCAGGTACGAACGCTTTCATGCACCGACAAAGCTGTCTTATACACTGTGACTGACATTTTCTTTTCTAGATACTGCTACCACGAGTACGTGTCCAATTGCTTCCCGACCCCGAATCCTCCGGTGATGGTTTATGCTAACTTTAGCCATGAAGAAAACTATTGATTGCAGGAAACTGTACGTCTTCGTAGTTTGATCCGCTTATATATCTTCCTGATGATAATTGCTGACTGGATTGAATCTTTTTAGGCCGTATGTGTCTCGTCGAAGTCGAGCGCGCCCCCAAGCCCGTGGCCTCCTGCGCCTGGCCCGTTCAGCCCGGAATGGTGGTCAAGACGAATTCGCCGCTGGTCCACAAAGCGAGAGAGGGTGTGATGGAGTTCCTTCTGGCTAACCACCCCCTTGACTGCCCTGTCTGTGATCAGGGAGGAGAGTGCGATCTTCAGGACCAGTCAATGCGTTATGGAGCTGACCGCGGTCGGTTCCACGAGATTGGTGGTAAGCGTGCGGTGGAGGACAAGAATATTGGTCCTTTGGTTAAGACCTCGATGAACCGCTGCATTCACTGCACTCGCTGTGTACGATTCATGAACGATGTGGCCGGAGCCCCCGAGCTGGGAACTACTGGCCGTGGTAACGACATGCAGATCGGAACCTACCTCGAGCAAAACCTCAACTCGGAATTGTCTGGCAACGTTGTCGACCTTTGCCCTGTCGGTGCCTTGACCTCCAAGCCTTATGCTTTCCGTGCCCGTCCCTGGGAGCTCAAGCACACCGAGTCCATCGATGTTCTTGACGCCCTCGGCTCCAACATCCGAATTGATAGCCGCGGTCTGGAAGTGATGCGTGTCATTCCCAGACTGAACGACGACATCAACGAGGAATGGATCAACGACAAGTCGCGCTTTGCCTGTGACGGACTGAAGACTCAGCGTCTCACCACCCCCTTGATCCGTCGCGACGGAAAGTTCGTTCCCTCAACCTGGGAGCAGGCTCTGGCCGAAATCGCCGAGGCTCAGCAGAAGCTGCAGCTGCAGCCCAATGAGTTCAAGGCCGTGGCAGGCCACCTGGTTGATACCGAATCTCTCGTTGCCATGAAGGACATGGCTAACAAGCTGGGTTCCGATAACCTTGCCCTGGATCAGCCCGGCGGCAGTGCTCCCATTGCCCACGGTATTGATGTTCGCTCCAACTACCTTTTCAACTCCAAGATCTACGGTATCGAGGAGGCCGACGCTATCCTTTTGGTTGCCACCAACCCCCGCCACGAAGCTTCCGTTCTGAACGCCCGCATTCGCAAGCAGTACCTGCGTTCCGACCTGGAGATCGGTCTCGTCGGCGAGGAATTCGAAAGCACCTTTGAGTACCAGAACTTGGGTGTCGATGCCTCCGCTCTGAAGTCTGCCCTGTCAGGCGAGTTCGGCAAGAAGCTGGCTGGTGCCCGCCGGCCCATGATTATCGTCGGTAGTGCCGCGGCTGAGCACGCTGATGCCAAGACCATCTTCGAGACCGTTGGCAACTTCGTCGAGAAGCACGCCAGCAACTTCAACACCCCTGAGTGGCAAGGCTACAACGTCCTGCAGCGTGCTGCTTCTCGGGCTGGTGCTTACGAGGTCGGCTTCACTGCCCCTCTCCCGAGGTTGCGCAGACCACTCCCAAGATGATCTGGCTCCTGGGCGCCGATGAGATCTCTCAGAGCGAGATCCCCAAGGATGCCTTTGTGGTCTACCAGGGCCACCACGGTGACCGGGGTGCCCAGCTCGCCGATGTCGTTCTCCCCGGTGCTGCCTACACCGAGAAGTCCGCTACTTACATCAACACTGAGGGACGCGTGCAGGTTACTCGGGCTGCCACATCGCTGCCTGGTGCTGCTCGTGACGACTGGAAGATCATTCGTGCTACTAGCGAGTTCCTTAGCGTTCCTCTTCCTTACGACGATATTGAGGCCCTCCGTGACCGCATGGAGGAGATCAGCCCCGTGATGCGCCGCTATGACGTTGTCGAGCCCACATCTGTCAGCGCCTTGAGCAGGGTCCAGCTGGCCGACCAGAACAAGGGTTCCTCGGCCACTGGAGCTCCTTTCAAGAAGGTTATTGAGGACTTCTATTTCACTGACTCTATCTCCAGAAGGTATGTACTTTTTTTATCCTAACCCCTCTGCCTGCTTGTTCCCACGTACATAACCCACTGACACTGGTTTAGCTCCCCTACCATGGCCCGCTGCTCGGCTGCTAAGGCTACTGGCAACCCTGAGACCAACTTCATGGCTGCCGGAGAGATGTCTCCTCAGGCCCTGTACGGCTAAACGTAGCCAGAGCCTCGTTGCCTCTGACCTACCGCATGAGCCGCCGATCGAATTCTTGTGTTTTTCATAATGGTTGCAGGCGTTGTCATCTTGTATCACACTAAACTTCCCTTTTATGTACCGTTTCCTTTCCACCTTCTGTTTTCTCCATCATCTTGAACGCCGCTTCGTCCGGGGTTCCGTGGTTGACCTCTCTCGGCCACTCTCCGGCATCACCTGGGATTAAATCGGTTGGGGTTGACTTGTACATAAAAAGCTTGAGACCCTCACAAAATTTCAGTCCCTTCTCGGAGATGATGACCATAATCCGTAGCTGGCGCATGCAAGTAGTCATGGTGTCTTACGATAGACGTAGATATTGTCGCTCCTTTTTAGTAACACTAACCATTAGTCTAGATAGAAGCAAGAGTATATGCACCACGTTCAGAAGAAGCGTGCTTCTGAATTGATTCTCGGCGGGAACGTATTCAATCAGAGTGATGATATAATCAATATTTACTAGCTCAATAGCCCTATTCATCAAAATGGTGCAACGGCGGATGCTTATAGCTCGTCATCATCCGTTTCACCCGCCGTCTCTTCGTCCGCCGCAATGGGCTCTGGCAGAGGCTCCGCTTTCGTCTGCGCTGGAGGTCCTCGTCGCGTAAACGGCAACTCTCTTCGCGGAGGCGCTGCCTCCTTGGAAGCTGCCTCTCGTTCCGAAGGCTTGACTTTAGTTCGTTCAGGCACAGATCGTTGTGAAGTAGCTGGGACTTCCTCCTCCTCGTCGGTGGTCGTATCCTCCCCGTCTTCCAGGGGTTGCGGCGTGGCTCTTTCTTCGTCTTCTGTCTCTTGGGCGTATGATGCTTGAACATCTGCAACTTTGCGATCAACGTCCATCTGCTCGAAGCCTTCGTCTGATTCGTCTTCGTCGTCAACTGTGTCTGGAGCACGTCGTTTTGTGGCCGCATGAGCCCGTTGTGCTTCACGGGGTTTCCCGCTAGCCGCTTGGATTTCGGCGACTGAGCCGTGTAGGGAAACGGTTAACTATCATTTCCTTCTCTTGGTGTGGTGATTCATCTTACCTTTTGTCGGGTCGGCCGTTGCAGATGCTAGCAATCGCTGCTGATTCCGGATTTTGAGCTTTTTCTCATTCAGAAGCTGAGCAAAGTTGGCCACCAGCTGGTTCTCGTGCTGAGTCTTGGCTTGCATGAGGTCTGCCAATTGCTGGGTCAATTTGGCGATGGTATCTTCGGCCTCGCGGTAGCGATCCGTTAAGTTCGTTACTTGGCTGTGCAGGGCATCGGCTTTGGTCGCTGCGATACCGGTCCAGTCAAACAGCGCGATCTCTTGGTCTTCATCCTGTTTGAGGACCAGAGACCCGAGCCTTTGCTAGAGTGATGTTAGTTGGTGTCGACACCATGTGACCAGACGGCGCCCAGAGAGGAGGGGGGAATGGTCTCGTACCGTGATATCCTGGACTCTTTTCCGAATGGCAATGACTATTTCTTGATTCTCGCTCCCCGCATTTGAAATACTAGCGGAAGCTTCGATTCCGGCAGACCAGGACGACTTCTCAGCCGAGACTGGCTGTCTTAGGATGTGAGCAATGATGTAGGCCCATTCGTCATCAGATCCTTGGTAATTTTTCCCACGTAGGGCATGCAGACGAGATTGTTGGACTATTCCAGGGTGTTAGTTCGTAATTCGAAATAAACAGTTCGATGAAAGGCATTACTGGACGCGGCATAAGGGTTCTCGCCCTCCGTTGCGGTGAGCGATACATCCAGAGGTGCCTGGCCAGTCTGGGAGACGTGGACCAGTACGTAAGAATGCGGCTCGTCCGACCGAGGAATTCGGACAACCTGGGGGTCGGACATGTTCGGAATTACACGAGGGGATATTGGAGGTGAATCTGTCCCGGGAGGCTTTGATGAATGAAAGATGGGTAAAAAGCTCGAGCGTGTCAATTGGATGGAAACATGGGCCGGGTAGTCTTGGGTTTGGTACTGAGTCCTGACAGATGACTGGAACTCGAAGAGCCGCGTTGTACAAAAAGGCAGCAGGGCGTGTCGGAGATCCACCCAAGGTACGTCGCCGAGCAACTAAGAACCAACTCTCTTGCCAACTCCAGTGCCTACCCTAACGACTAGTTTAATCCTAGCCGACTCAGTTGGTATCTGTTGGTATCTCCTTCGTAGGGCTTCGTCCCCAGTCCACTATTCAATATTCTCCAGCCGCAGCGGGCTAGTTTCGAGAGGTAGTTGCTTCTTCTCGAATAGCTGACTGAGGAGTATCCGTCTATACTCCGTAGTTAGGTACTGTTGGGTACTATCGTATAGCTTAGGCAATGTATACGATATGGTATAACTAGATGCCCATGATATGTAACATGATCCTATTCTCCTCCAACGACACGCTAACGAACGATGGAGCAAACGCACGTCCCTTGTTGGTGTGGCTATAGGGTGGACTCCCGTGGCTCTAGTTCATCAATAGTCCGGGTGTCGTCTTGATGGTGAGGACCAGAAGGGAAATAATAGTGAAGGTAATAACTAACTAGTTCGTCTGTACTAGTTTTGCTCTCAACAATTACCTAGCTCTTCGCGAGTTACAGTAATAAAGATCCAATTCGGTTGGTTAAGCAAGTCTTTCCTGGCCAAGGCCATCTTGTTCCAGGCACTGGCACGTTCCCTCCCTCCACGAGGAATCCCTCCTCCCCCCCTCAAATTCCAGCCTCCAACACCAACCCAACATTACTAAACTCTGGATTCTACCACCATTCCGACTACCACCCTCTCATCCCTCCCCTTTCCTGGCCCTGAACATCCCCATCACCTACTCCGACATCTCTTGGCCTTGTCCCCCAGCTCGTTGTCACTCTATCTCGCCCGTTATCCCACACTCTCCGACCTGACACCGACCTCCCTACCCCCCTCGCACGCGACGACCCTTTCCAGGCTTACGACTACCCACCAGCCCTGTTTCACCCTACACGATCCTTTCGATAAGGGCACCACAGCATTTTCCGACCACCTGGACATCTTGAATCATCGCGGAATGACGTCCATGGTTCCCCGTCCTCGTTCAGTGTCAATGTCAGTGTCGTGAAGCTTGGCACTCACTTCCTGATCCAACGACATTGCTGTACTGGGTACGGTGTGCAGAAGCTATAATCGCCTTTTATCCGGTATTTTCGCATACGCTACTCTGTCATGGAGCTCCCGGCTACCCAAGGACGACCCCGTGGAATGGATGAAATAATCGAATGTTGGGATGATGACGATGATTTGCAATTCAATGATGGAATCCAATTCCGCGCCGCATCCAGCACAGGCTCTGTGACCAACTCCTCGTTTCGACCATCTGGACACCGTGACTCTATCTCATCGCGCCGATCCGCTCGCTCCGATCTCGATTCAAATGCGGGCGATGAAGATTGGCAAGTCCTGCTACATGGCAACGATGACTTCTCCAAAGAGGAGGCACTTGCCTCCGCCAAACATGCCGGCATCCCTATACCCTCAGATATCCCCAGCTCGGCCCTCATTGGGGGTGCTATTAAACGTCTGTCTGCTCGGAAATCAAAGCGAACCTTTGTAGATGATTGGTCAGACGACGTCGAGCTCCCTGTCCCTGGTGCGGTCCTGGAACTGAAGACTCCACAAGACAATGCTTTCCCCGAATCCTTACGACAGATTAGCTCCGCAGCGACCAGTCCCGTGAAATCGACCGCTTCCCCTCCCTGGAATGACGACATTTCGACTCGCCTCCAGGCAGCGTTTTCACCTTTGGATCGCTTTCAAGATGAGAATCACTCCCCAATGGACCAGAATGTTCCTACTATCAAAGCCCCTACGCCTCGCTCCCCCGAAAAGAACCCTGTCAGTATGGCTGGATGTGGCCCTGCAGGGGATCGGGAGATTGATGATTTTGACGAAGACCTTGAATTGCCTCCGGACCACCAGCCACTCCAATTAAGTCATCGAAAAGATCGAGCCGAGGTTTCTAGTCCTATTTTAGATGACTTTGATCTCGAGTGGTCGGAAGGCAGCATTGGTGTCCGAGTTGGTGGGACAGCACGAGACGGTCGATCCCTCCCAAGCTCCTCTATCTCAATCGCAAGTCCGAGCGTTTCAAGCTGTCTCACTGCAGAAAGTGAGGAGGATGGCTTGGATGGTGTCTTATTTCCGGACGGGCCTTTGGATTTTACCGCATCCCTCAAGCGGAGACAAGAAGCTCAGACGCCCGAGATTCCCATCAAGGATGAGGCTATTCAGAAGGCACCATCTTCACCAGATGCCGATGACTTTTTCTCGGGCCTTGAGGTTGACCATGGTAGAGCATTTGCCTCGGGGAAAATGACCCTCAATCCCAACGTCAAGTGCAAGACAGAATGGCCATCAAGCCCAACTCGTCGGCCGGCTACCACTCTTACTTTCACCAATGCCAGCGGAGGGTCCCCGCGGACCCGCATCCCCCGTCTTTCTGGTCATGAACGAACCCATTCAACTCATCTGGAGACCGTCTCAGAAAGCGGTGCACCTCTTTCCAAGTTCCGAAGATCGCAGTCTCGTCTTGGACATTCATCGCAATCGTCCGTTTCAAGTCTACCTGCCACCGGTACGAAATCACCATCGCCAACCCCGAGTACCTCGACTCGACGGCTTCTGGGATCCCGAGCGACTAGGGAAAGCCCAACCCTTGCCGAGAGCGAGGGCCCTTCAAGACAACTTCGAACCAAACGATCGTTACCATCCATCCGTGGGACCACTTCGGCTACTTCTGCGTTGGCTTCGCAACGGACACCATCTCATCAAGATGGAACTGTTCGTGCCTCCTTCAATAGACCTAAAACGCCCGTTGAACGGACAGCCGCACTTGACGGACGACCCTCGGTTCGCAGAGTTCAGGCGCCATTCATTGCCGGTGCATCAGAAAGGAAGCCACAAAATGCCAGCGTGAAAACCTATCGCTCCTCTCGGCGCACAAACTCGGATAGCTCGAGTGATCTTCTCAGTCCGCAGAGCACATTTTCCCGGCTATCACGTCCCTCGCGCCCAGAGAGCCTCCGACTGAGTTTTGGTGAATCTGGCACAGAAACTACCGGGTCAACCACCAAGCGGACCCTGACCAAGCCGACCAGACGACGCAATTTTGGAGATGGCACCGAGCTGGAATCATTTGACGATTTACCTACCTCGGCGTCGTCCGAGAGCAAATTTACCAAAAACCCAGCGGGTCGAGGAGCTCCCCGATCAGTACGCTCTCGGCTCAGCCAGAGCCGTATCACTCCTCCGATTGAATCCCCTACCCAATCCACGCCCCCTTCTGTCTCCAAACCGCTGAACCCGACGCCGAGGTTCGCTCGCGATACCAATGCATCCCGCAATGCTCGAGAACAACGTATAGCCTCTATGAACTCCCGAACCCGAGACACAACCCCTCTCTCCTCTTTGAACTCGAATTGGAAACCCCACCCGGTTGTCTCTCGCATCTCTCCCAGCGCGGCGCCTGTGCGAAGCCGCAAATCCAAACCCGTGACCAAGTCTTCATCCAAACCCCACCTGATCAAACCTCTAGGGTCCGGCGTGCATGATGCTAAATGTAAGTGGCCGAGATGCGTTCCCTTGCTTCGATTTCGATTTTTTTTCTCTTTTTTTCCCTCTCTTTCCGTCCGTCATCTTGAGAATCAAAATTGGAAACTAACACTGGTGTCTAGCCGTGAAAGGCATGCGGTACAACCCATCGACTTTCCGATGGGAAGGAAACGAAAACATTGTGCAGGATTTCGATATTGCGACTGCTCCCAAATCACCGAAATCTGCACCGGCTCTGATCACTAATGTGGGACCTTTGCACAATGTCCAGGCGGTTGGCGGAATGGTCTTTGATCCGCAGCGCATGTGTTGGCTTAAGGCCTCCACCCTTGAGTCTGGAGGCCACGGTGGTGCAGCACCCGAGGATGAGGATGATGTCTTTGCTGGGTTGGATGACCTGGATGATGACAAGAACGCCGGTCCTACTCGTCGCAGCTCAGGGGCTGTGGAAGACTTGTCTTCCCATGCGCCTGGTGGAGAAGATGCCAGCGCGGGAGAGTCTTCCGATGACTGCCCTATCACGGAGGAATTTGACGTTGGTCCCGAGTTTATTCGACGACAGAGAGCCGAAGAGGAGAAGTGGAGACGCAAAGTGGCTAAATGGATTGGCCCTGCTCGCGGCGATCGAGAGCAGCACTGGCGGTGGACCATCCGTGATCTGGTGGCCGAGGATACCGGCCATGTTATTGGATAGAGGATGAAAGAAGGCTCGAAGAGAGAGAGGCCCGATCAAGGTGCCCAAGAAGAGAGCGCAAGATGGTCTCTAGCTACCATCATCGAAGTATCTATTGTGCTCCATGCCAGAGTGTCCCCTTCATGCTTTTGGAGAAGAACGAGCAGGGCGCTCCTTGGGTTGGGCGTAGTTACGCATGAACTTATGACGCGAAGGCATATTCCGTCTTCATTGGCCATGATGAATTTGGCCAAACGACTTTTACGGCTGTGACAGTGTTGGGTTAGTATCATTTTACGGGAGGGTTGTTGTCGCTGACGTGTTGACTTTGTGATCCTGTAACTATACTTCTACTCGCACTCGCGTTGCTATATTATCTCCGAGAGTACATACTTCATACATACCACCTGCAGTTGCACCTAATGATGATGAGCATTTTGTTCTTTTGATCTTCTCTTCCTAACGTCTGATCTGACGATTTCTTGTGCTTTTGGGACTTTGTCCGTTCGTACTTCGTCTCGACGTCTTGTCTCTTCTGCTCTTCTCTCTTTCCCCGGCCTGTCCGTACTCGACGCCCTTCCCCCTTCCCCCTCCCCATTCCCCTCTCAATCCGCCTCACCTCCTCGATTTCTCACTGGGCCACTCCTCCGTACGGTCTGCTTTCTGCATCCGATCGGCAGGGAATATCCATGCTGGGCCCTGATCCTCTCGGGGCAATCACTTCGTTTCAATTCCCGTCCCCTTTGACCGTTCCCCCCGTCTTTTCCTCTTCGGTTATGACTTCCTCTTCTCGCCCAAGCAAGCGCCTCCTAGATGAAACGCCAAACACATCGGACTCGGGCGCTTCCCCAAGGCAAGGTGTTCGTACCCTTTTTGGTGCATTTTCCTCCGGAAACATACACGGCTCGCGGTCAGGGTCGGGAAGCAGCAGAGTGACACCGGGTGATAGATTGTCTAACGCGCGAGGGCTTCGAACATCCCCCTTTCCGGTTCACGACTGGACCAGACGCTGTCATTGCTGCGAGAGTCCGGTGCCAAGTCCTTCGAACACGGTGTCTCACCTGTCGCGGACTAGCCAAACGCAGGCAATCCTGCCATCCCGCATGCTGCATTGATTGCCCGCTAACAACATCCAATCCCATTTGCCCTGACATCGACGCCACGTCAAGGTCATGCCTAACTGCCACGGATCTCCCTGACAGCTCACGATCTGGAAAGGCGAAGAGGAGGCTGTAGGACAACAGCACTGACCAGGATGCGCTTACGAGCAACCCCCTCCCGCGCGAGTGCCTACCCTTGCTCTCTGCTCTGCTTCAGCCCATTCATGCCCATCTTCCACCCGCGCTAGACTCTCGAGGTCGCAAATGGGGCCCCAAGGCGCTGGAAACTTCTCCAATCCTCAATCCATGTTCCTTACGGCAACGGCTACGTGCATGTTTGGACTTTTGCCAGAGCAATCTCTAGCCCGACTTTGTTTGACGGGGGCAAACCTGCAGAAACAAAGCCCTGCACGAAACGAAACAAAGATTGTCGTCTCCTCGCCTCTTCTGGCCTTTCCCCCGAGATCGAGTTGTTCCGCCGCAAGTCGCAAGTCCCGAGGCGCAAGTCGCAAAGTCGGGGAGGTCCCAATTGTCCCCCCGGTTGTCGGTGACATTCTAGAGGCCGATCCGCAAGCGCCCCTCCCCCATAGGTGGCCTCGAATAGCCCAACGTGGCTCTCCATGAGGCAAATGGTGGGGCCGGGCATCGAGGCAGGAATCCGTATCACCATTGCTTGTGTATGTGCTGTCGTAGGCCTTCAATTGCCTCGGCGGGTCGGAAAAGAATTCGACCACGAACCCTAGTCATCTCGCTTTCCTTTGCTCTAGCTTTCCTTTCTTTTTTTTTTTGGCTCTCGCTTTATTTTGGGTGGGTATTGGGACCCATGCCACCTCTCTTCCCTGCAAGCTTGGGTCATTACCCTTCTGCCTGTACCTTACAGAGCTCTGCTCGACTTGTCTGGCTCCTTTGTTTCCTTTTTTTTGTGGAATATTGGCTGTTGGTCTTCCAGGGATTACCTCTGTTGCTTCTACCCACTCTCCTTCGACATGGTCTCGTGCACTTCCTTGGGCATCTGTCATGTCCTGCAAGCTTCGTCTGGGGTTTTGTGGATTCTTTATAATAGAAATGTCGCCCCGTTGATGTCGTCCATGGGTTTGTGTATTCCTTTTGGTCTTTCATAGGACGTGTCTTCCAACTCTCTCTCTATCTCTCTTTCTCTCTCGTGGTCCGCCTTCACTTACAGTTGTGCTATCGAGACTAAAAGCACGTTCTTTTACTTTTTTACTCGAGACTTACTCACGGTCTCCGATCTAGTACTTTCATTGTATCTTTCCTGGAGGTCTCGGCTTGTTCTGTCAGTGGACCTGTGGAGCGACAGCTCGACTAGAACGAGCATAGAACACCATGAGCAGCTACTCCAGACGCAACGAAGGGGCCGACAATTATCTCATGAATCCATCGATGGCAGTGCCCGGTACATACAGCCACGCAGATAGCCATGACTATGGGGGAGCAGGTTCTGGCACATACCACTTTCCCCAGCATTCATTCAATCCATACGGAAATCAATTTAGCCCGTCGTATGGGCAGCAGTCAAGCATATCCCCCGGAATGCAGCATCTGCAGTATGCGTCGGAGCATACGATTCCCTCGATGTCTACCACGGAAGATATGAGACTTCATCATCCTCCCCCACAGTACATTTCCCAACCCCGCTATCTACAATCTCCGAGGTATCTGCCGCTGCGCGACGCTCTTGGTGAGACGGATATCGAGAGTCAAGAGTCCCGAAACGAGGGCACAATGCTTTCAGAGCCCGTGGTACCCGCCCTCGATGGATTTCCAGATGTAAAAGAGTTTGATCAGCTCATGCAGAGGTTTGTGAGATTCCACAAAAGGTCGCGCGCTGGGCTTGCTTCGTTTCATGGAGACTAACATTATACTCTTCCCCAGCTATGTGGACGAACTCTCGGTGAAGAAACAAGATAAGGCATTGATCCATGCCAAGAGAGCGCGGAACATTCGAACCGTGTTGATTGATCCCAAAGACACTGCAATCGAGTCTGCTCAATTTCGGTCTGTATTCTTCCTTTTCACATTCAATCAGTGCGACTAAATGAATTCAGGTTCTGGGTCAAGAAAATGTTCAAGCTTCAACCAGTCGGCATGGGCACGGCAGATGTAAGACACGCCCTGGCCTGATTTCCAACCCGCGGGATCTAACGAGACTTCTTAGTGCCGAAAAATGATTTGTCATGAAGGGAAGCCCGTGGCAATCCGCGAGAAACTGTTCAAGATTCTCACCAAGGCACATCAGCAATGCCAGCATGGTGGCCGCGACAAGACCTCTGCACAGGTCCGACGGATATACTCATGGTGGGTGTCTCCCATGGGGCGTTATACGATCTTGATGAAAATTTCTGGCCGCTAACCATTCCAATCCTTCTGTCAGGGTGCCAAAAGAATTGATCTCTCGATTTGTCAAGATTTGTCCAACTTGCCAGGTCCGGCGCGGAGGATCTCGTTTGACGCCGCCGAATTCCCGGCGAGGCTCACCCCGACTTGAGATGGTGCCCCGAACTCCTAAGCTCCCATCACCCCCGATGATCAAACGAGAATCGTCATATGGAGCACATTCTTCTCTCGACCGAGCACAGACAGAATATTTCAGCCAGCTTCACGGTCACAACGGGTGGATAGACAGCGCTCAGAGCTTGCAGAGCCGTTCTGGCTTGAACTCCGGGGTTCGATCCTTCCCAGGGCCGATGAACGGCCTCCCCCACTCACTCTCCGGGGGCATGGATCCCTTCTCGGCTGATCTATCAGTTCCACCGTCTCAGTTGAGCTATACGACAGGGTATGTCCCGTCTCACGGAGCCCCAACCCAACGGGATTTCTAATCACCACGGCGGGGAGAGACTAGAGTGTTTGGTTGATGAAATAGGCTCTGGCTCCAGCTCAGTGATTTCGATATTTGCTATGTTGGGCCACGCTTTCTGTTCTGGATTCCAAAAAGCAATCTGTTTATTCTACACTTTCCTGGGTGGTTGGAATTCTGCCCAAAAATCGCCTGATCTGGGCCTCCAAAATGTGGGAAGCGGTAGATGAGAACACAGCATTATGACCAAAAAAAATGACAGAAAACTGTAGACGTTGTTGGTATATTAGGGAGATAATTCGAAACCTATTGACAATCAAAAGGAAACTGACCAGACTTGAATACTGGCTACGCAAAATGTATAAGAACGAGGCCCCGGCCCAACTGCCTGCCTAGAGCAACTGACCATATGAGTATGGAGTAGCCCATGGCCACTAAGACGAACAGATGAGACAAGTTAAATAACGACAACGCGCCCTCAAATTGCACTACCTACAAGCATTCCCTTCACTGGCAATATCATCGATGAGAGATATATTCGATTCCTCTCTTCTTCTCATTCAAAATTTGTTCTCATTTATTGCCTTTACCAACAAACCACAAACGCCATCCCACAGCCTCATTAATATAGCCTCTTTTCCCTTGATGCGGGCGCCGGGCAATGGAGTCAGTCGGGGTCACACTCCCATATGGAGGTGCAGGACACGGTCACGATTGGGACTGCCACCAAGTAGTGTGAAAGCGTCATCAATTGATAGACTGACTCCGAAGCGATTGTCCGGGGCGGTGCTGTCTAGAGCTAGGGACATGATCGTATCGTGTATTATCTGGGGAGGCGGGAAAGCCTCCAAGCTGCATCCGGAAACATCTAGGAACAACCAATTCACGTCAAAAAAGAATCCACCGACACATATACCCTCGAGGCAGTTGACCGAGAGTCTCATGCTGTCCTCACAGGCCGAAGGGATTCGACTTAGACGGGAAGCGAGAACTTCTTGCCTTTCAGAACCCTAGTTTTTTAAGTCAGCAAGTCTGGCGCATCGACACATTCAAAGAATTCGACTGGCTTACTTGTTGTAGTAGATATAGAAAAAGTCCGAGTAGAGCAGAGTCTGAATGATGCCGGCCACGATGGGGACCGGCTGGAAGGATCGCTGGAAGGAGGCCTCGGTGAAGTATCGGTATATCCAATTAGGGATATAGAGCGCCCGGTACAGACCCAGGGCAAACAGATAGTGCGTGGTGATTGTGTCTGCCTCTCCAGTGCGTTGCAACATGAACAACTGGGGCAGGATTGCAACCGATTCCAACCAAATCGAGAACGTCCAAAGGATCTAGACAGAAATAGTCGTCAGTCCTAGCTCTAGACTATTTGCTGGCAATCTGGCAGGGAAACTTAGCGCAGGCACATGGGCACGAACCTCGGAGAGTCGATAGTCGTGGGGGAACAGCAATGCCAGGATCACGCTGATTCCAAGCAGGTACTGGACCTTGAAGGTATCAATATTGGGGTCATGAGTGGGTTTGTAATCGTTGAGCATGAGGTAGATGATGTAGGCGGACGAGCCGATGAAAAGGAGCTTGAATGTGGTCAGGTAAAGCGAGTCGGTAAAAGTCCAGAATAGATCTAGAGATAAAGATATTGATTCCGCGCGTCAGAATTTGATCCAGTAAAGAAGGAACAGAATAAAAATTGGCGCACTCACCCAGATAGCGTGTGACGAAGACCAGGAAATAGAGCGCCTGCGACTTGAAGGACAATCCGGAACAGCTCTGCGATGACGTTAGGTCTGAACGAGGAATCGCGGGATCGGGGAAAGGAATACGCTGGTCGACTTCATCTTCTGGAGAAGAATGAAGATAGATGCCAGATGGGAGAAATCGGCTTTCTGGGGGTCAGTACGTCTCTATTGATCGTGGCAGTCGCTCTGGTCGGCTGGTTGGCTCACCTAGTAGCCGAAAGATATTCATGGTGAAGGTCGGAGCGTAGCTCAGAGCAGAGGAAAAACAAACTGAACCAGTGGACAGTTGGAATATCCGAGCTGTGAAGAGAGAGGGTCCCGAGAGCAATGGGGAAGTACAGTTGGAGGGATGGAGGGATGGAGGGATGGTGGACGGGAGGAGGGAAGGGTTGAAGGGAGGGTCTCGAGGATCGCGAATCGCGGAAATCGGGAGTTGTTGACACGAAAACCAGAAGCCAAGTGGGCTGCCGATCAGGTACGGGAGCCAAGACTTTTTTGGGAGTTCCACTCCACTGGTTAGTTCAACCTCCTTGACGAGCAAGACCTCAACCCAAGTGATGCACGTAATTAGTTAACATGAGTTATGTGGAAGCGTATGATCGGGGTTGAAAAATATGAATCCGAATCGATATATTCCTGAATCTATTGTACAGATCCACGCCATGCGCCATGCCATGCCCGTCATAATTCCCACCCAAAAGACACCACCCCATATGAAACCTCATGGAAGAAACGGGAAATACAAGATTCAAGGGAAACAATTAGAATAGAACGCCACCCCCAATGCTGCTCTCCTCGGCCATGCGTTGTAGATGGCCCTCCGCCAACTCGCTCTTGAGAGCACAGATGGAACTCTCGCGGTCCAGTCGATCCCAGTCGCGCAATCCGGCTCGTTTGGTCCGTTGAGTCTCCATCACCTGTTCAAGGAGTTTTTCACGATCCGATTCTAGCTGAAGAAGACGCTTTTCCGTCACGGGGTCCAGTGTCGAAGGGAACGCTCTTCCACCCGGTGTGATAGAGCTCAACCCAGCAAGATGACTTGGAGGCTTAGGTCCTGGGGGTGGATTGGCAGATACTGCACTATACTGTCGCGCACCCGCGTGCCGATAATGACCCCCTCCTCCCGACACAGGGGATGAAAAGGAGGCCCGTGGCCCAGAAGGGACAACACCATGCGCCGCTGGAGCTGCGGGTGGTCCACGTCGCGTCATAGCAGACCCACCCCAGGGACCTTCTCGTGAGCCGGGCCCCCGACGAGGTCGGGTGGGTGCAGATAACAAAGACAGGTTGTGAGGGCCACGATTTGGACTACGCGCGGCTACCTTCTGCCCCTGAGAGGGCCCCGAAGGTGGGGGTTGATGGACTCCAGCGTTCCTTGGCTGGGTAGGAATGTTGCCAGGCGATCGACCACCGCTTATTTGAACTTGGTCCACAGGTTCCTTTTCTGATGTACGAGTATAGTCGTCTTGCGATCTCCGGGTGCCGCGGGCTTCTGTTTCACGATAGGAATCCCGGTTTGGGGATCGGCCTCCGGGGCCTGGTGGCGGGCGACGAGAGGGTGATTGCCGGATAGGTGATCGGCTGTGACTGCGAACCGAGGCGACCCCAGTTCGGTCGGGGTGTATGGAAGGAGATGAGCGTCTGGATGTGGCGCTAGATTCGGGTACTGCGGCAACGTGCGCCGGCGATGCTTGTCTTGACCGTGACGAAGGTCGCTCTGTCTTATCAGTATTCTGTTGTCGACGAGGGCCGCCCGCAGAACTCTGGGAGCGAAATACTAGCGTCGGTTGACCTTCCGTGGAGATAGGTTGTGCTGATCTGTCGTCGTCGGGAAGGGGAGGAGAGGTGCGTCTGGTCATGCGGCGATCTTCACTTCCAGGAGAGGGTTCGCGGGTCCGCCTTGGGCTGCCGCGACCCCGGGATAGATCGCGCGACCTACCCTCATTGTACGCGGGGGATCGAGCTCGCCAGGAAGGGGGAGGCGATCGAGGTCGATCGTCTCTTCGAGGCGAAAATCGTCGTGGGGGAGACCGCCGCCTACCGTACGAGCCAGGTCCATACCCTCTACCCTGGAATGGAGGTGTTCGAGAGCGGCGTCGATACTCAGGTGAGCGACTGCGCGGGCGCCCATATGTTCGATTTGAGGGTACCCAGGTGTCGGCCCGTGGACGCGAGCGATTTCGCGGTGGCGAGCGTCGACGACTATCGTATCCCCGAGACGGCGATCGGCCAGGTCGTTCACCTGGTCGATAACTTTCTCCTCCGCGACGGTCGTCAAATCTATCAGGCGGGAAGTGAGAAGATATCTTAGCCATCGGGAGACTTGCAGTCACTAACCTTCTGCGATCCCAATCCATCGCGGGGTAATCAGCCGTTCAAAGAAGCATTTAATGTTCGAGAGTGGAATTGTAACGAGATCAGTCGCGGAAGATGGGGGGAACAGGAAAGATGAAGGATGGAGAACCCAGCGGAGGCTAAACCACTTTGGGACGAGAACCATGGCTGGTGACAAAAAGGGAAGGCGGTGACTACTATACTCCCATCATACTCTGGACTCCTACTAGTAGTATATCGACGTTCTACTAACTTGACACCCCAGCATGTTTAGGTGGAACTGTCTTGGTAGCATATGCAGGTCAATAAAGTTGCCATGGAGGCACAAATGATAGATGAATTATTGGTTCCATAGAAGTACAAAGGGCAACCAGAAGAAAACCGGTCACCTCAGCGTTTGCCTCGTCGCTCTTCCTCCTTCCGTAATCTCTTGCGACTCTCCTGAGCAATCATGTCGCTAAGATCCTCCTGAAATCCCCACTGTGGCTGATTTTGTTGCTGTCGCTGGGTCTCGTAAATATCCTGGAGACTTTCCTTGCTGAGCCCGTCACCAGACTGAATTACATCGAGATCAACCGACACCTCCACATCACCTGGCTTCTTTCGTTTCCGGGTCTGCTCGTCCACACCCAGGACGGGGTGAGCGCCGGACGATGAGGTGAGATCGTACGCTCGGTCCCCACCAAAGAAGCCCGAGACACTGGTCTGCTTCTCGGGAATCACCTGGTACGCACTGCGAGGGTGAATAGACTCCTCGGTTTCGGTTCCACGGTGATGTTTGCGGACGTCGAATTCACCAGACACATTTTCCGTGGCTCCAAACTCGGACGGTATCGCGGAGGCCATGCCGCTGGGAGTTTCTAAGCCGCTGGGAGAGTGAATGCCCGTCTCTCGTTCTTCGTCAGCCGCGTCCTCGTCCTCAGATCCCTCCTCCTCGTCTTCTTCCTCCTCATCACTTTCCTCTTCCCCTTCAGATGCGTGTAGTTCACCCCAAAGATCTTTCTCCACGGGTTCTCCCTGTTGGGCATTTTGCTGGGGTTGTAGCACACCAAAGATGTCACCTCCGTAAAGTGGCCGGTTATGTTCGTCGACAGGTGGTTTTCCATAGCCTCCAGGATGATACCCCCACATTGCACCCGGGGGTGGAGGGGCATTGAGACCCGGAATTTTTAGAGCAGGATATGATGGAGGAGGTCCGAATCGTTGCTGGTTGATGAGCCAAGGAGGGGGGGCCCGGGGGCATGTTGAGAGCCTCTTTTAGTTCATCACTTAATTCGCCGGGGCGCAGGTGTCTGAGATTGGTCTCGTGCTCCTTTCCTTCATAGTAGATCTCGCCGTATCGGGTCAGTTCGGGCTTGGTTTGGAAGCGGAAAAAGGCCTCGTAGAGTTTCTGATAGTCGATGTCGAGCCGCCCCATCTTGGGCTGGACCCTCTCTCGCTGCTTCTGCTTCAGACTGGATTGTTCTTGCTTTTCCAGTGCGGCATCACGCATTTCGGCAATGCCCGTCTCCTGAATGAACTTGGGGAGAGCAAACGGGGCCTTTTCGACACCTCGTTTCGACGACAAGTACTCACGCTTGAGGGACCAGTGTGACGGAACGGGAACCACATTGCGATGAGCCTTGATGTGAACCAAAAGTCGTGGATCGGCGGCCGAAGTATCTGTCCATTCCACAATGTCGGGTTTGGAAACCTGGGCCTTGAGTTCGGCCACGGACAATTTGTTCAGCTCCTTTCGCTTCTTCTTAGACAGTTTCGGCTCGAGCTCTTGCTCCTCATCGGGAATCTCATCTTCGTCATCAAAGTACACTTCTGGCTTCTCTACCTCTTTCGTTGTGGCATTTTCTCCTGGTCCTTCGTCAAACTTGGTCGCGAGACCCTTGTATATCTCCCACAGAGGGTCGTCTGGCACAGGAAGGATAGGGATAACTGAAGGCTCTGGTGCATCTTGGGGTGCAGGGACAGGAGGGGGTGTCTGTTTGTCAGTTTCCCCATTTTCCTCGACGGTCGTACTGGGAGTCTGGAAAATGTGAGCGTCTTTCTGAGTGGTCAGAGGCGATGGGCTCACCTCGGCCTTCAGGGCCTTTTTGCGAGCTCTCCGGAGCTGATTCTTGCTAGATTTCGTGGCAGATGGCATTACGACGATTGGGCGACCTTGATCCAGAAAATATGATGCGTCCTGGCGCCGAGATGTCAGTGCAATGCAGATGTCGCGCGACAGGCGTTGGGCTGGAGAAGATGCGGGAAGACAATCAAAATCGCCAAGCTGCCAGAGGCGAGACGGTGATTGGCTGCCATGCCATACCGCCCTTGCATGTCCTTAGTGCTGTATGTACATAATAAATTGTAGATAATTTTGGATGCATCAGCTCACAGGTTACTCTGTTGACCACGTACTGACTCTTTCTCGTGACTTGTCATGATCTTTGATTAAGGATCTTCAATGACCGAGTGGTCAAACACGCGAGTGGATACCCCCGACACCAGTAGATTTGATGCTCAATGAAAGGCCGTGCCAATAGGAGTTTCTTTGTCCTTGCCTGAGATAATTGGGGTTATATAAATAGGGAAGTGATTGGATAGCATCATAATTAGGAGCAGTAACATCATCAATCGACAAAGAAAATGGACTTGGACAAAAAAAAAAGACCCATTGTGATGCTGATAAAGGGGTAATACTATGATACATTTTGGGATACATGGAGGATGGGTCATCGTCAAGTCACCCAGGGCTGACCCAGTCTCTATCGTCGAAAGTATAAGAACAATGGTTCACTGGGTCCCGGTCACCAAGGACACCAGTGCTGAGACAAGACGCAGGCACTCATTTTCTGGTCTGGGCGTCCTGTAGGGTATTATTCAATGATAGATGTAGTACATCCCATCTATTTCTTCTTCTTGGCAGATCTCGATTCTGGTAGACAAAAAAATGTCAGCGAAAACATGGAACCTATTATTTCACCAGCGACCAGTGAGCCTTACCAGCAGCGGTCCTCTTCTTTTTGGGCCGACCCTTTCCTCGTAATTTGGCACTATATGAATCAGTCAGTATGGGGTGGCAAGAGGAATATAAGGGCCCACGGACATTTGGATAGCTTCCTCCCGATCATCCTCTGCCTCGTCAAACGTCGTTAAGCCGAGGGGCTTGTAGGTGTTCTGGAGATCTCGGAAGGAGACCGTCTTTTTCGGATACCATGCTGCAAGTGTTGGGCCTCGGAGACGTTGACGCAAGATCTTATTGCCTAGTCGGAGCCGTTGCGGGTTGAAGTTCAAGGAGAAGATGCGACACTGTGTCTGATCTCGGGGGTCAGTAAATTAGTCCTTCGAGTACGGTGGAGAGAGATAGGAGCAAAAAACCTTCACCAAGTCGAGTATTCGGGATTGCGACATTGCTACGGCTCCGTCAAGGTCCCTTTGTTAGCCAGTGGACAGAGGGTGAGGTCTCGCAGACTGCAGACTGCAGACTGCGGAAGAAGCGTCCAACTTGCGGCTTTGCGGTCAGGTCACGTGCTTCGTTCTCGATGGACCCACCTCCTTCCTCCGCGTTTAACTTTCGCGCTTTTGGGCCTTCGCGGCTTCGGCTTCGGCTTCACAGCTCGAGCGGTGGCAGATAAAAAAAACCGAGAGCTGAGCCATGGGGACTAAGAGATCAGCCACAGCCCCTGGGACCAGCACTGCTCCCAGTCAATCTTTCAAACGAGCCAAGGTGTGTGTGTGTGTGTCTATCATAGATGGCATTTACTTTATTTTATCTTTCTGCGAACTGTCTCACGGTGCCGCATCATATCTAGTCATTGAAAGTTGAACTGACAAACCCTTCAATGGAGATCGACTACTCAGAAACGAAGGATGTGAAAACTACGGATCGTCCGACCTTGATCAGGAAAACCGACACCTATCCTCGTCTGTCTTCTTTGAAATGTCTCGTTCGAGAGGTCATGGCCGATCCCGAGGTAGCGACAGCTAATTTGGAGGTCATGGAGGCCCTTTCAAGGCTAGATGATACACTTCAACGTCTCCCAGAGTCTCCAGGTTCACCAAATAGCCGCGTAGAGGCTTCTCAAGATCAGAAAATCAGTGACCCATCACCGTTCGTGGAGGACAGTCAACCTCCGCTACCTGCTTCGCCTCCTATCCTCGATGACCAACTGCAGAAAGCAGTATTTACGCACTCCGCGTGTAGCGGCGATAACAACTCGAATTATGACCGACTGGAGATCTTGGGTGATGCCTATATCGAACTGATCGCAACGCGATTGGTTTGGCAGAAGTTCCCAGGCATACCGGCGGGTCGGATATCTCAGATTCGGGAACTTTTGGTCAAGAACGATACGCTTGCAGGCTTTGCGGAGGCATACGGCTTTGATCGCAGGGCCTTGGTTCCCGCGAATTACTCAGATCAGCCCAAGCGATGGATCAAGACCAAGGGCGATATCTTCGAGGCCTACGTAGCCGCGGTAATACTCTCTCGCCCTTCTGGGGGAGGATATGAGCTTGCGGAACAATGGTTGACTGGCTTGTGGATGCCCCAGCTAAACAGCCTAGGCCACCAGAAAGCCAGCTTGCGCTCAAAGGAGGCTCTAGCCCAGCAAATTATGGCCAGGGACATCAAGCTGGAGTATCTTGAGGAGCGGAAATCAATTCAGAAAAAGGGTACTGGTACCCAAACCTTCTTTATCGGGGTATATCTCACGGGTTGGGGATGGACCAAGAGACACCTCGGTTCCGGACAGGGTTCGAGCAAGGTGGCTGCGGGTGATGAAGCAGCACGAAATGCCTTACTAAATACATCCCTGATCGCAGAAATAACTGCTCGAAAAAGGAAATCCCACTCATAAAAGTGACTTGGCGGAGGTGTTGTTGTGGCATGTTGAACGTCTTCAACTCCAGTCCATCAAAATGAAGGGCAGAAAAAATGACTTTCTATCCCTGGACCGACCTTGTCGTGTAGAATTTTCTTTTCGGGCGCTATTCTGGAGATACCCTGGGTTTGAGCTTATCAGCAAACGGCATATTTGGGTGAATTTACATACATGTCAATCTGATCAGAATCTAATCAGAGGTCTTGGATATATGGAAAGCCTGGACCTGCAAGCAATAGATATTTTACCGCAATCCATCTACATGCACTTCGCATGACTGGACTATAGTAACATAACTAAGAGTGAACCAGGTTCAATCAATCAATTAATCAATATTCATAGACCCAATCTAGCTTCCTTTATATACAGGTGCTATACGGGGATTTGTTATCTTGCTTTGCCAGTAGCAGACATAGAGAGAAGATGGTGGCAGGACGAGCTGACTAAACCATCGGCGAGAGGTAGTAGTGGTGGCTAGGAGGCCTAGAAATCCACGAAGGGGCCTGAGTGGTCAGGCTACTTAACTAGCTAGTTAGCTAGGCTATAGCGTAAGAAGGCGGGCCTTAGAAATCAGTCCGCCTAGCCCTGCTATCCACGCCTACAAGAAGGGAAGTAGTACAAACGCAGTAAACAAAGCTAAATAAGCTAAACACGCTAACAAAGGAGATAGACTAAACGAAGGAAGGGGAATCGCTACCCCTGTAGTCTCTAAGTCCCCTAATCGTATATATATAATCTTTCTCTCTCTATAACCCTACTAACCCCTAGTAGTCGCTATAAAGCCCTTGTAGACGGTTAACCCTAACTATTAAATCTATTAAATCCTTTGACTCCTATATCTTCCTACCTCCGAACGCCCTTATCTTCTCCTCCTATAGTCGGTATCCTCGATTTACTAAGATCCCGTATTACTAGGTTACCTCTACCGCGTAATACTATACCTCTTCCGCGACGTCTCTAGTTAGCCTAATCTTATATTAATAGAGTACCTAGAGGCACTATATACTAAATAAAATAACTACGTCTACTATAGCTACTCTTATATATATAGTAAGAAGGATAAGTAGACCTAGTACTAGCCCTCTAGTTATAAGATTTATTAGGATCCTACTCCTACTATCTCTAGGTAAGGGATTAGTCGTCTCTATCTAAGGCTAAAATAAGTAATTCGTAAGGGTCTCCTAGCTCTTTAATATCTTCTAGACTAGTGTTAGATATCAGGCAAAATGCCTAAGCCATCAGGCAGTATATCAAGCCAGATTCATAAGGCCTATGCCAAGGCTAGAACGATATTCTGAATCTCTATAAGCTTTATGCTATTATATCATTATTATCCAATCGGACAATTAGGCATAAATAGACGTATCATAGTTATGCGATCTATATCATTATTACGATTGAATTATATCGTACAATCAAGCAACTATATATTAAACGGCTACTACATAAAATCACTATATATCTAGATCTATCTATATAAGATTAGGGGGCCATTGTTAGCACCCTATGAGAATTTGGCCCGTACCCTATGAGGCCTGATTTCGGCCTGAATTTCTGCCTTACTATATAAATTACTGCCAAGCTTGTTAGAGCTATTACTTTCAATTATCCATATCCTTCTTTCCTATATCCACGTACTAAATCTCTCCTCTAAGAGATCACATGACCTACTATCCTCTCCTTAGGCAATTTACCTACTAATTTACTAATTACCCCTCCCCCCTATACTAGGCCCTATTCCTATTATGGATCTTTTAACGGCAGTATCCGCTAAATCTCTATCTAATTTAGACCAATCTACCCTAGGGCCTTCTATCCTACCTACCTATCCTCTTCTTCTACTACCCGGTCGCACCTACTAATCGTGTGAGATTACTAGGGAGGATCTTAAGGATTTTACCGCTTAATAGGGCTACGCCCTAGTAGTAAAGAGATCTGACGAAATCAAGATTGAATTATACTATTCTCTCTAGCTAGACCCTATAAAGAGAGGTCCTTCGGTGGCTAGTAAGGCTAAATCGCGAGAGGTCAACAAGATTAGGACTAATTGCCTATTCTACGTCAAAATCTGCCTCCGAAAGGATAGGAAAAAGGTTAATCCGGACCGAATTGAGATTATCGTCAAAAACGAGACACATAATTATAAGCCTACACCAAAAAACCTTCTTGTTCCCCTAAGGCAAAGAGAGAGGGAAGAAAAGGCTAAGCGACTCCTTAGTTACTTAAAATAGGGCTATAAACCTATAGCAATTTAGTAGATTTTAAAGGTAGAGGGAAGTCTTCTTAACTTGAACGATATCTATAATCTCCGTACCCGAGTAAGGCAACTTTTCCTCTATAGGCGTATATTAATTAAAGCTATAGTCGAGAGCCTACCGGGTTGGATTATACACTACTAATTAGATAGTTAGCAACGGCTAATTAGAATCCTCTTCATCTTAAAGTAAGGCCTTGAATTTCTACGTATTTACCTAAACGTCCTATAGATAGATACTATATATAAGACTAATTAGTAAGAGAGAGATTAATTAGTTAATTAGTTAATTAAGCTAACTTCCTAGTTAGGTATAATATGCTATTAGTCGATATTATCGGGTAAGTCTCTACTAGAAAGAACTTCTATATAGCCCTTTGCTTTATAAGTGATAAGTAAGAAGTATCCTATTTTTGGATACTCTAGACTCTTCAAACATAGCTTTTATAGGTAAAGATTTAAGCCCCTCGTATCCTTATTTCAGACGACGCAGACTCTCTTTTAAATATATATAGGCGAGTCTTCAAGGATAGCTAGGGCCTACTTTGCCTCTAGTATATTATAAAGAATATTAAGACTCGAGTTCGGCTGTTAATTTTAAAGGAATTACTCCTATAGGGCCTTCCTAATCAGGAAGCTTAGACGAAAACTATCTAATTATAGCGAAATACGAAGGCTAAATTTATATAGATTATCCTAGAAGGGATAGAAGATAGGATAGAAGCTAGGAAGGCCTCTTTTCTAGAAGACCTAAGCGATCCTATCTACTAATCGGCAATCGAATATATCGAGAAATAGTGGTTTATTTAAGATAGGGTAAAGCGCTTTATGCGCTATTATCTTAACGGAGTTCTTTATTACGATAAGCTTACTTCCTCGCGTGTAGAAGGAGCCTATATAAAGATTAAGAAGGAACTTTAGAGCTTAACGGCGATATTCTTATAATAATATAGGGAGTCTCTCGAGTCGTTTCCTATACAAATTAGCAGGCTTTCTACTTAATCTAATCCTAAATCTATTATAAACCCGTCTCTCTTTAAGTCCTATTATTCCGCGATATCCTCGGCTAGGTCTTAACGTACGTAATTCGAAGAGTATATACCGCCTAGGGTAAATATCTTCGAGTAGATAAGTATAAGCAAGCGATACTACGCAGGTTAGGTAGAGAGGAAGTAAGATTAATTAATCTTCTTCCTTTAATTGAATAGGAAGGATAAGTTCAATTCGGCTTAGAATCATAAGATGAGAAAAAGTAAAGTAGGACTGAAGCTTGGTTGATTATATTAAATCTTGCTTGTATGTTTTTTTTTTTTAAAAAACATGATTATTATCTTGGTAGAGAAAAGCAGGGCATATTTATAATCAACTTGTCTCTTGCATATGATCGTTCTAGGTGATGCATGATGATCTCATACAGACAGATCTAGATGCATAGTGATCTCATGCAGTAGCTGTTTGATCGGTGGTTGCTTGATTGTACGATATCATTGACTGTAGTGATGATGTAGATCGTGTCATTAACCGTAGTGATGATGTAGATTATATACTGTTGTATACGTCTTACTTGATGTCATTGACCGCAGTGATGATGGTATAGCATAAAGCTTATAGCGATTCAGCTATCTTGTATAGGCCTTATGAATCCTGTATGGCGGTTTAGGCATCTTGCCCTATATCTCACAATAAGCAACTACCCCCTTATACCTAATACTAATCGCGCTCGATTAGTCTTCCGTGTAATTATATAATTAAAGATCTTTAGGATAGTAGCAATTCTCTTCTCTAATCTTATTTCGACTAATAACACTAGCTATATTTACCGAATCTTCGGCCGAATTAAACAATTAGAAGGACTAATTAGAGAGGAGGAAGGCTTCGTATTAAGGAACCGAATCGGGTAAAGGGTATCGGCCGACCGAAGTTACTAGAGACTATTAAGCGTTTTCGAAGATAGGGAGGGAAGTATACTACCGGTCGTAACTCTAGGGTAAAGAGAAGTCGGAATACCTACGTTTCTATAGATAAAACTATAGGAATCGTGGTACTACCGCCTTTAAAGAGACCTAATATATCGATAAGGCGAATACCTTCGAACTAGGAGAAGAAACTTAGGTAAGGACGTAGGGCGCGCGGTCGTAAGGCAAAGAGATTAGTGCTAGCAGAAAAGGATAGAGAGAGACGGGTAAGGCAGATTAGTAAGTAGCGATTTAGCTAGAAACCTAAGGCTTAATAGGTTATATAACTAGTCTAGTAGATAGAAGATAGAAGATTTCGAAATTAATTTATATAGGTTATATAATCTCTTATAAGTAAATAGCCTTAGGAAAGATTGTATTAGGTCACGTGACTACCTAGTAAAGATAGAAGGGGTAAGGGATTAGGTATATAAATAAAAAAGAGATACGTGGTTAAACTTGTATTAAATTGTTATAACAGCCTTAGTAGAAATTAGGTAATAAGGCTGAATTCAGGCTGAATTCAGGCCGAATTCAGGCCGAAATCAGGCCTTATAGGGTACGGGCCAAATTCTCATAGGGTGCCAATAATAGCCCCCTAAGATTACTATATATCTAGAATATATCTAGATCTATCTAGATTAATTATGTATAAGAAATAAGTTTAATAAGTTTGCATAAAATATTAATTATAAATATACCCTATTTTCTCTACTAAGATCTTATAATAATTATATTTAATATAAAAAAAGTAAGAACAAAATAAT